ATTCAAGACAAAATGAAATAACAAAGGGGTAACCAAGCATGGTGGCATAGGCTTTTAATACCAGCACTTAGGAGGCAGAGACAGACAGATCTCTGAGTTCAAAGCCAGCGGGGTCTATCTGCATGGTGAGTTGCAGGACAGCTATGGAAGGCTATGTAGTGTCTCAAGAACACCCCCCATTCCCAAAAAAATCTGGACTTACTCTACCAGATGTCAAAATTAGCATAAAACTAAGACTATGTTATTGAGGATCAGAGATGGAAAAAGAACAAAGCTGAATAACAAGTAAAAGCCTATCCTTGTATGAGTATCTCTACAGCTATGGCGCGCGCGCACGCACACGCGCGCACACACACAATTAAAAACTTGAAAGAAACAAGCTGGGTATAATAGTGCTGCACACCTTTAATCCCAGCATTTCAGAGGTAGAGGCAGATGAATCTCAGTGAGTTCCAGGACTGCCAGGGCTATACAGTGAAACCCTGTCTTGAAAAACCAAACAATAACAACAGCAAAAAACAGTACTTGGAATCAGCAAGCCCTGGCTGTCCTAGAACTCAATATGTAGACCACACTGCCCTCAAACTCACAAGAGATCTACCTCCCAGTGAGGGGACTAAAGGCGTGTGCCACTATGCCTGGCTGAGATTATTGGTCTTAAAGGCTGTTAACAAATTGTGAAGATGATTTGGGCCCATAGAAGCCAGTGAACAACACTCCTTCACTCAAAGTGTAAACCAGCTAAAAACATTCACCAACATTAAAATGGCAGTGGGCCTGTTCTCATATTGCTGAAGAATTCAAATTGCAGTTGCTCACTAGGGAGGTCACATGCTGCAGAGTTAATGTAAAATAGTCTCTTGAGCAACCCAGCAGAAACAAGCAAACTGACCAGGAAGGACCAGTCCTGGACATCGAGGTAACAGCTCCCAAAGGTAAGGCTTTGTGCTGCTAGGACAAAATACCAGAATGGTAATTTATAGATAAGAATATAGGTCATTCTCTCCTAAATGTGGAGGAGGAAGTCCATGATCTAGGAACTTTCGCCTCTGCATCGAGATGGCACTTGCTGTTACTAGGCTGAAGGCAGAAGAGCCAAAACCACCTAGGCCTGTTACAGCGCTAATTGTTGGAGGTGGAGCCTTCCTGACCTAATGATCACCTTCCAAAGGCTACTACTTTATATTTCCTTCTCACAGATGGGTGTTTTGCCTCCATATATGTCTGTGCACCTGACAGCCACAGGAAGCCTCAGGAAGACACTGGATCCTCTGGAACTGATGGGACAGATGCTTGTGAGCTGTCTTGTGGTTGCTCAGAACATGAATGCTGAATAACAGGAAAACATTCAAAAGAGAGCAGACCCTGCTAGAGCAGAGATCATATCCCTTGAGAAAAGTCCAACAAAGTAGCAGCAAACTCCAAAACTTGATAAAAAAATACATTGAAAATTATTACTTAAGTACCTTCACACCACACATTTCAATAGATTTACTAATAAATCTATTTTTCAGCAGAGTTGAGGGCTAACATTTTTGGTTTGTTTTTTCAAGACAGGATTTCTCTGTGTAGTTTTGCATCTTTCCTGAAATTCACACTGTAGCCCAGGTTGGCCTCGAACTCACAGAGATCCGCCTGCCTCTGCTTCCCAGTGCTGGGATTAAAGGTGTGTGCCACCACCCGGCTGAGGGCTAACTTTATATGCAAAGTAGAAGACCTGTTAGGAATTCCAAAGTTTGATAACATTATGGGCAGGACATATATAGAGTAAAACAAGTGGGACTGTAGAGACAACTTAATGGTTAGGAGCACTGGCTGGTTTTTTTTTTTTTTGGTTTTTCGAGACAGGGTTTCTCTGTGTAGCTTTGGAGCCTGTCCTAGAACTCACTCTGTAGACCAGGCTGGCCTCGAACTCACAGAGATCTGCCTGCCTTTGCCTCCTGAGCACTGGGATTAAAGGTGTGCGCCACCACCGCCTGGCACACTGGCTATTCTTATAGAGAACCCAAGTTCAATTTCCCAGCACCCACATGGCAGTTCACAATTATCTGCTGTGGGATGTTCTGTATGGCAAGTGTGTTGCTCTGATTGGTCAATAAAGAAAACACTGATTGGCCAGTAGTCAGGCAGGAGGAAGTATAGGCGGGCCAAGGAGGAGAAGAATTCTGGTTAGTGGAAGGCTGAGTCAGAGAGACACGGCCAGCCGCCACCAGGACAAGCAGCATGTGAAGATGCCAGTAAGCCACGAGCCATGTGGCAAGGTATAGATTTATGGAAATGGATTAATTTAAGATATAAGAACAGTTAGCAAAAAGCCTGCCACGGCCATACAGTTTGTAAGCAATATAAGTCTCTGTGTTTACTTGGTTGGGTCTGAGCGGCTATGGGACTGGCGGGTGACAAAGATTTGTCCTGACTGTGGGCAAGGCAGAAAACTCTAGCTACAAAGAGAGATTTGCCCTGACCATGGGCCAGGCAGGAAAACTCCAGCTACAATTATCTTTAACTCCAGTTCCAGAAAATCCAACACCCTCTCCTGGCCTTCATGGGCATCAGGTACCAAAGTGGTGCACAGACATATACAGGCAAAATACCCTTATACATTACATGAAATAAAATCCCAATCAGTAAACCCTGGAGATGTAAGTTAGCTTCACGTCCAGAAGTTTAACCTGGAAGTTACCTGTAGTAACCTGGAGAAATTCTGCAAACAATCACCGCCCTTTGTAATAAGTAGACAGAGAAAAACAGATGTTATGGTGACTCCTATAATCCCAACAAGCAGGAGACTGAGGCAAAAATGTGAGTGCAAGACCAGCCTGGGCTACAAACACACACACACACACATACACACACACACACACACACACACACACACACACACACAAATATGTTAGAGGATTAGTTTCTACTAACAATAGAAGCATTACCTCACTAACACCAGTGACCAAATTACTGGGACAGCAGGAGCAGTAACAGAAAGGCTGGGGATGTGTAGCTCGGTTGGTAGAATGGCCTAGAATGTGTGAGGCACTGGCTTTGATCCCCAGCGCCACATAAACTGGATATATTGTGGATGGACGTGTCTGTAATCCCAGTACTGGTGATGTGGTAGGAACATCAGAAGTTCAAGCTCATCCTTAGCTACACATTTGAGTTCAAGACCACTCTGGGCTACAGGAGACCCTGTCTCAAAAACAAAAACTAAAGGTGTTTCTTCAGATACTCAGACTTGGTCAGGAGACAGTTCATCTGACAACAAAACAGTTTGTGTTTCTAAACAGAATCACTGTAGATAAAATACAGACTTTTCCATATGCTATCATTACAACTGTACTGGGCTGCACACATCTGCAATCCCAGTACCCCAGAGACAAAATCAGAACAGATGCTACAGGTCTGACACCAGTCTGCCTGGTCTGAATAGCCAGTTCTAGGCCACTGGAGGCTACCTCGTGACACCTGCCTCAAAAACAAAACACGAACTACAGTGATGGTTTAGTGTTTAAGAGCACTTTGGATGTTTGGTTCCCAGAACCCAGGCTGGACAGCTCATAACCACTTAATTACAGGGGATCCAACATCCTCTGGCTCCCACAGGCACATGCACACACATTAATAGTAAATAAATCCACAAAAATCACAAAACAAACTCTGCTTAAGTTTGGGAAGCTTCTTAATTTGTCTTGATGTACGTATGTGTCTTTATGGGTTTGTGCATGGTCATGCAGGTTCCTCAGGAGACTAGAGTGGTCGGATTTCTTGGGAACTATAGTTACATGTCATGAGCAGGTTCTTTGAAAGAGCGGTACAAGCTCTTAACTGATAGATGCAGCTGTGTGAGCAGGAAGACCCGGGTTTAGATTCCCAGAGCACACTTAAAATCTGAGCATGGTAATGTGTTGTTTGTTTGTTTTTTGGCTCTTTTGGGGGGCCCGCCACCCAGCTCCCAAGTAAATCACACCTGGAGGCTTATTCTTACTTATGAATGCTTGGCCTTAGCTTGGCTTATTTCTTGCCTACTTTTCTTAATTTTAAATGATTTCATCTACCTTCTGCCTCTGGGCTTTTCCCGTTCTGTCAATCTCACTCTCACTTCCTGGCTTGGCTGTGTAGCTGGGTGGCTGACCCTTGGTGTCCTCCTCTTTCTCTGGTTACTTCTCCTTTCTCCCAGATTTCTCCTTCTATATATCCTCTCTGCCTGCCAGCCCCACCTATCCTTTCTCCTGCCTACCTATAGGCTATTCAGTTCTTTAGTAGACCATCAGGTGTTTTAGACAGGCAAAGTAATACAGCTTCACAGAGTTAAACAAGTGCAGCATAAGCACAAGTAACACACGTTAAAATACTATTCTACAACAGTAATGCACATCTGTTGTTGTATCAGTGCTACAGGGGTGAGGCATGAGCATCTACGCAGATTCCAGGTCAGGCAGTCTAGCCAAAGCAGCAAGCTCCAGGTTTAGTGATACACTTTCAAGAAAATAAGGTGGAGGGCTAACAAGATGCTTTTTGTTTGTTTGTTTGTTTGTTTGTTTTTCGAGACAGGGTTTCTCTGTGTAGCTTTGGAACCTGTCCTGGGACAGGGATTAAAGGCGTGCGCCACCACCGCCCGGGGCACAAGATGACTCTTTGTAAAGGCACATGCCACAAAGACTAATGGACTGAATTCAATCTTTGGGACCCACATGGTGAGAGGAAGAGAACACACTCCCACAAGTTGTCCTCAGATCTCCACATGTGTGCCCTGGCATGTGTACCCGCACACACACACACACACCCCCCACAAATTTAAAAGTGGAAGTAAAAAATAAACAAATAAGTAGAGAACAATATAGGAAGACACCAGATAAGGTTGACCCCTGGCTTCCACACTTGCACAAATAGGTAAGTGCATGTGCACAGACCACACCCACAAAAATAATTTCTGTACCCTTTATAACATGTTAAACTATATTATCTGGCATAGATTGAAAATGATGTCAAGGTCAACTCCAAAGTTGCTTTTAACAAGACTGAACCTCTTTTATTTACATATTTCTGACATACATGAATGATCTTATACTTTTAACCAAATCTAACAATGGTGAAAATGGAACATAAAAGACAATTTCAAATTTTAATTACATTGAAATATTTTTTCACTAACTGATGGACATGACCAGTGAATAGCCTACATGAAGTTGTGGGCTGTATATAGATTCACTTTTAAAACTGAAAGCCACATAGCTATTAAAGCAACAAATTTGCAAATGCACACATTACATATGCAAGAAATTGCATGCAGGGCTAATATATTTACTCCTTAACCTTAAAGCCATTTTGAAAGTAAACTGGAGTAAGCATCTTAATATTATATATGTACATCAAGGCACATTCATTTCTTGTGCTTTAGGAATGATTTACATATGATTGTTTATATCTTAATTTTATACTTTAAGAAAGCTTCTATAACCTAAAAGCTTAATTTTAACAATTATAGCTTGAATGATAGTTTTCTAGAGAGAAATGGCCATCTCCCCATAGTTATTTTCAAAATCTGAATCTGACAACTCAGAAAGGTGAGAAATTAAAAAAAAAAAAATCAAACACATGAATATAATTTAGTCTTAAGAAAACTTTCAAAATACTTTCAGCAAATAGTATCATAATCAATTTTTTATGTAACAGTATAATGAGGGCTGCAGTAAGAATTTTCAACATTCTGAAATTATCTAACAATTATATAGCATCCATAGTACCACAATAGATGTAGTTTTTCAACAAATTTAAACAAACATGATACAAAAGCTAAAACATACCAAACTTAACTTCTTCGTTAACTTGTTCATTCTTCAGCAAAAGAATCAGTTTTTTTTGTTTCCATTTATAGTCCAATGTTATCAAGCAGAAACTTCCCATCAACAGTGTTTAATAACAGTACTCTTTTCTCATGGCCAATTACTTGCCTTAAAGAGATAGTATAGTAAGGCTTTAATAGGCATCTCATGCATTTTAATGGTATTTTAAAATTAGCTTTGCATTTGTGGGTCCCATACAGACAAATAAATTATGCAAACTTGATTACAACACATAACTCATTAAGTGCTTCAAGACAGACTAGACTCTCTGACTTAGAAGCAGTTAAAATAAATAGTCAAGAATCACAGATCTAAAGCATTTTTAAAATGTAATATACTTATGCATCTTAAGGATATGCTTTATATTAGAATTTTTTTAATCCACAAACAACTAGTCACAGAACCTCTATATTTTGAGAATAAAACAGAAGAAAAGCCAACCGCGCAGCCTTTTAAATTCAAAATATGTAATAAAATAATGTCAAAATATAAATGAAACTGCACATCTTTAAATTTTGTACAGTTATTTATAAACATTAATTCATAAAAGGCATACCATGATCAACAACTTCCATCCAACAGGTTTTTGTTTTCAATTTCTTTACAGAAAGTGGACTTTCCTACAGAACTCACTGGCCAGACAAGAAGTTAGGAATGTCACCACAGCCCAGTTCCACATAAGTGGTCCAGTGGCTGGTGACATACACTGTAAACACGTGCTCTGTGAGCTCAATGGGCAGTCGTCTCTTTGCGGCTGCAGTACTCACTCTGCTTCCGGCATATGTGCAACTTCTACTTCAACAGTCTGAATGGCTTCTGCAACTTCAGACAGCTTCTGTCCTTGCTGCTGCGCCAACACGTAGTTAACGACTTGCATAATACTTTGGTCAGAAAGGGTAGACACTGATGGACACTCTTCAGTAGCTGCAACGGCTTCCAGAACTTCCATCGTTTCTCCTGTCACCACCACAGTCTCAAGTTCTTGAGGCCCACTGCTTTCCTGTTCCTGCATGTCTGCAGTTAAGATGCTGACAGCATGTTCCACTTGAGTTCCCTGGTTATGAAACTGCAGAGTGTCTTTTTCCAGCATAATTTTGCAAGGCACATAGTCTCTGTGGAATTTAGTCATATGCTTACGAAGGGTGCGGGCGTCTATGTATGCTTCACTACACACGGGACACACATAGGGCCTTTCACCAGTATGTGTTCGGACGTGACGTTTTAGTGATCTGGCATCAGCCCAAGCTACTCCACATGTTAAGCACTCAAAGGGCTTAACACCTATCAAAAAGAAAAGGAAAGAAAAGAGGGTTTGTGGGGTAAGGGTCCAAATTCCAATATATATGAAAATCATCTTGCAAATGTTTATTTATTTTTTTTTTTTTTATTTTTTTTTTATTTTTTTATTTTTTTTTTTTTTTTTGGTTTTTCGAGACAGGGTTTCTCTGTGTAGCTTTGCGCCTTTCCTGGAACTCACTTGGTAGTCCAGGCTGGCCTCGAACTCACAGAGATCCGCCTGGCTCTGCCTCCCGAGTGCTGGGATTAAAGGCGTGCGCCACCACCGCCCGGCTTGCAAATGTTTTTAAAGTACAGTAGTCCACAAACACTTCACTTTTATTACTATAATCTTTTAGTTAGCATCTAATAGTTTTCAATGGACTAACCAAGGTTTTGCGCTATAATTTCTCTCAAAGTGTTCTCTCATAATAGAAGTTAGTTATGAACAACTGTGAGTTTGCCATGATCTTATCCTTTAACTGCAATCTGATATTCTTAGGATAAGTCTCCAAATCAGTTTCAGACTCAGTATCACATAAATAAATCTTTCAAGATACTGGATTTATCTACCAAGTGAGAAGAAAACAGGTAAAAGAGCCGACAAAATAAGAATGCTACTCTCTCTCCTAGCAAGATAATACACTACCTTCATGGTTGTTCATGTGTCTTCTGTACTCTCGCAGCTGAGTGAATTTTCTTCCACACTGATCACACACACGCTCCAGGTTCTGCTTTGCCCGTCCTTTCTTCCCATGGGTGGCTTTCTTTACGTGTCTTCTGAATAAAGCTTTCTCATAAAATTCTTTGCCGCATATATTACACCTGTAGGGCTCAGTGACGGAGTGGGACTTCACATGGGAGTACCAGTCTTTCTTCCAGCTGTAGCACTTATCACAAAACTGGCACTGAAAGGGCTTCACACCAAGATGCTTGTTCATATGTTGGCGCAGATCTCTGGCTTCAAAGAAACTTTTTTCACATCTGTAATAAAGTTGAAGTACCCAATTGGACCATCTTTAAAACACGTCTCCAAGAATTCACTATATTAATTTTTTGAAGCTTCATAAAATTATTCCAAATTTCCAACATTAGAGAGAGAGATCTAATTTTTCAATCTTGCATCAAGGATGCAAGGTTTAAATTCTTTTTAGAATACTCAAAATGCTTGAGAAGGCATCATGCAGAGTTCCCAAAAATTGCCAAAGTGAATTTAAGGTCCACCTCTCTTTATCCCTCTCTTCCGCTCCCTCTTTTTGCATCCCCTTCATCCCCTTCCTCTTTCGTCCATGTTAGGAAGGTAGGTTTCATCATTGACACTAGGAATGAAGCAATGATTCAGGCCTAATCAATTACAATAACAGCATTCCCTTGGGAGCAGCAGTCAGCTCAGGGATGCCAAATGACTTAACTTGATCCAATCAGAGTGAAACTCGGGACTTTTACAGGAACTACCAGAAAAGAATCTTGACAATTTGGAAGTTGAGAGGATGAGAAGCTGAAACCACTGCCACACTTTGTCCATACGGAGCCTGAGAGAAACCAGATACTAATCAATCTGAATCCAACTTAGACCAACCACTCAGACCTCCAGACTTGACTTTTCATTCAAGGCAGTTAGGTTGGATTTTCTTTCACAGATGATAACAACAAAAAAGTACTGACAAAAAAACTGTACCTGGGGACAGGTGCTGGTGGCGCATGTCTTTAGTCCCAGCACTTCAGGGACAAAGGCAGGCAGATCTTTGTGAGTTCAAGGCCAGTCTGGTCAACATAGCAAGTCTGAGAATAGCCAAGACTATTATTATGACTGTGTCTCAAAAAAAAAGTCCACCATGTATTTGCTGGATTATTATTACTATTGGTCATTTGAGACAGTTTCATTTTGTAGCCCAAGCATGTCTCAAGCATGCAATTTTCGTGCCACATATGACATGATGGCTACTTTAAAATAAGAAACCAGCAAATACAGCAGAGTAGGAAATGGAAAAACCTATTTATCCATAAAAGTTTTAGATCAATTGGCTTCGGAAGTCTAGGAACTTATCAAAAGTATATACTGAATCTGGGTGTGGTGGCATATGCTTTTAATCCCATCATCCTGGAAGCAAGCAGACCTCTTTTGAGTTCCAGGTCAGCCAAGGAATTACCCAAGGAGTTCCAAGCAAGCCAGAGCTTACACAGTAAAACCCTGTCCCAAAAAACAATGACTCGGGATGGCCAGAACTATATAGAAAGACCCTATTTTAAAAAACAAACAAAAAAGAAAAACTCAAAGACGAAAAAGCTTATAATGGCCAGCAAATGGTCAATCAAGAATAACAATTCCTAGGGCTGCATAGACAGCTCGGCAGTAAAGACCATTTGCTCTTGCAGAGGACTCGGATTCAATTCTCAACACCCACACAGCAGCTCACAACCATCTGTAACTCCAGTTCCAGGAGATCCAACATCTTTTTCTGGCCGCTGCATGAACCAGGCACAGTCATGGTACACATACACACATGCAGACAAACACACATACACACACAATAAAAATAAATGCATCTTTAGGAAAAACAATGACTGCATACCTAAGGTTTCACGGCATTTTAAATTTATCCTAGTTCCCCAGAGCTTAGCAGCAGCCTTGAAAACAACAGCCTGCATTCCTAATGAGGGTTCCTAGTACTACATGGACCTATAGTTAAAAAACTATGACTGTTTTGTTTTGTTTGTTTTTTGGAAACAGGGTCTCGATATGTAGTTCTGGCTATCCCAAAACTCACTATGTAGACCTGCAGGCTGGCCTCCAACTCACAGAGATCTACCACCTAACTCTGCCTCCTGATTGTTGGGACTAAAGGCATGCACTACCAGGCCTATCCTAGAACTATGACTGTTTAAAATTATTGGCTAGCTCGCTGAAGGAGCCCATCTTTGCCTTTTAGTTACTCCAACCCTCCCATAACTGTGCGGTTGGAGTAGAGTTGTTTGTTGAGAACATTTAAAACCAAATACAGTAGCCGGTGTCTCTTGGGGACAAGGAATACATGTTGTAGAAACACAAATATCCCAAGCATGAGAGTGAGGTGCTTGGGGAATAAGAACTTTGAAAATTCTTTCTCTCTTTCTGGAATAAAGCTGCAGGATGCATTCACGGGAAACATGCTGAGATCCATCTGCACAGGTCCTGTGCTGTCGCTGGCTGACCTGAAGCTGCACAACCTGCCAGTGAATGCTAAGAGAGCTGGCAAACTGTTAGGCTGACTACTGGAAGGACTCTAGAATTAGTAATCCTATTTGTACAAAACTATGAATGTATTAATAAAAACTCCCTTTAAGGTGGTTGGTTACTTTCCTTTTGTTGTTTTTTTTCGAGACAGGGTTTCTCTGTGTAGTTTTGGTGCCTGTCCTGGATCTTACTCTGTAGACCAGGCTGGTCTCGAACTTACAGAGATCTGCTGGCTCTGCCTCCTGAGTGCTGGGATTAAAGGTGTGTGCCACCACCCTCGGCTACCTTTTTTTTTTTTTAAAAAAGACAGGTCAAACACTGTAAATTTATTCTCACTGTGAACTGAAAACATAGTAGTGCTCCTTGCCAGCTGTCCGAAAACCAGTGGGTGCTTGGTGACCCGTAGATGAATGGGATGACCCCCAGATGCTGGCAGGTGTATCTGGAGCCTACTCAATGTGACATAATGTGATTACTTTTTGATTTTATGAATTTAACTTCAATTGAAAAACAGGTAATTTTGGAAAGTGAATAGAGAAGATTCATAAGGAAGGAGAAACAGTATACAGTGCTTCAAGGAACCCTACAAAGGAGCCTAGCTAGTTGTACACTTCTCCCTAATGTCTCCACCCCAGGTAGGAAGGACCTTGGAAAGTCTCTTTCAATCACTCTTTAAAAAACTCTGAAAACAAACAGTAAGAGCTAGGCAGACTGATCACTCAGTATGCTGAAATTACAATTAAATGTTATCTTATAAAAAAAAAAGCAATATTCAAATGAGCCAGGTGAGATAAGTGAAATGAATTTCACATATTAAACACTTACTGAGTACAATGATAGCCTCGAACTTCAGGCTTTGGCTGGTGTTTCTTAAGGTGCTTGCTAAGTCCAGAGCCCCTGTGAAAAGACTTTCCACAAACTGAGCAAAAGTACTTGGACTCTCCTGTGAGAAAATGAAAAGTCATGTTATAAATCTTGTAAGTAGGCCCTCTTTTCAACATAATTTAGTTATATTTCAGAAGTTCAAATTTTATCAAGATAAGAGAACACAGAAACAATGTCATTTTACAAAAACTTGGTAAAAAACTTCATTAAATTTTCTATTTCCTTTCAAAACTATACCATCATCAAGAAACTGAACATATTGTGATAGTACTGTGTTCCTGATACGAAAACCTTTGCAGGTGAGAGCTGACTCCCAGCACTGAAACATTCCTAGGAGAGGAAGGAGGAAAGAGGACAGGAGCTCTTGATGGAGAAGTGGTGAACAGAGTGGTAAAAGGAAAAGCCAAGCAAAGGAAGGAGAGGGGAACCTCTAGGCTAGGAGGGGTGCCTACCTACCAACCTGTTACTGCTCCCTTCATCTCCGCCCAGCCTCCCATCCTTCCAACCCCTCGCAGAATGGGAATCCCATACTTGTGGCAGCTCAGCTCTCCCTGACCCAGACTGTCACCGCTATGAACAGGTTGACAGAAACAGAATTGGAACTAAGACTAGGGTCACTGCCATGACTACCTGACGATGTGCTTTAGACATTTTGGGAGGCATGATGGCACATGCCTTTAATCTAAGGACATGAGAAGCAGAGGCAGGAGGATCTCTGAGTTCTAGGCCAGCCTGATCTACAGTTCAAGTTCCAGGACAGCCAGGATGATGAATGACTAAACTAGTAAAGGCCACTGTGTAAGAATATACTATGTCTGAATAATTTATGAACTGTAATAGTAATTGGGTTAAATAGAAGTTCAGCAGCATTGGCCATTCCTACACTCTTGCTTAATTAACAGCACATCTGAACGAAAGTATGTGAGGCTTGGTGGGTAAAGCACTTGTTGCTAACCCTTTCAACTTCTCTTCAATTCCTGGTACCTACATGATGGAGGAAGTGAATGGACTCCTCAAAGTCGTCCTCTGACCTCCACAAACATATGCCATAGTACCCAATTGCCACATGCACACACACACACACACACACACACACACACACACACACACACACACGCACACACGCACACACGCACACACGCACACATACAAATTAAGTCAATTTTTAAAAAAGAACATTTCTAAAAACTGTATTTAAGAAAGCTTTAAAATTTTATTACTAACTAAAAGATTGCACATATTAACTTATGAGCATCTTAATACAATTACTTCTACTTGGGGGTTAAGAGAAATTTGAGACAAAGCCCAGCTATGTAGAGTAGACTAGCCTAGAACTTTTATGAAGCCCAAGCTGGCCTTAAACTCATCATCCTCCTGCCTCATGGTCCCAAGTGCTGGAATACAATGTTCCGATGTAATTACAGTATAACCAATCAACATAATACTAAATTAGAAATATAAAATATAACTACGTTAATAGTTTTATAATTACCTGTGTGAATACTCATATGTTCCTGAAGACTCCGTTTGGTAACAAATGACTTGACACACAGTTCACACTGGAACTGCTTTTGTGACTGATGGAGACTTTGATGTAATTTTAGACCATGCTTATAGATAAAAGTTTTTCCACAGACCTAACATAGAAATGTTTAAGGCAGCGAAACAAAAAAGAATTTATTTTTGAAGACTGTATACAAAGAATCCTAATATTACCATAAACAGAAATGTTAAATAACTAAACTATAATTTATTATGTTAAAGTTAGCAAAAAGACAATGTCAAAGATAAAGTCACACATACCAAGGATCTTAGCTAGCTGACTCATTTTCTTACTCAGTACAAAAGTGCACACAACAGCAGGAAAAACCACTGTGTTATCCTTGCCAGCCTGGCAAGGCACACACACACCTTAAGGAGGCATGAAAGCTTAATTAAGAACCCTTCTCGTCTCCCAAGACACCATATAAAATAGTTCTTCTCAGACTCTGGATGAAGAACAAATTATTTTCAATTTGCCCAATCCCTTGGGAAATTTTTTTGTTAAGCACAACAAATGTAGCAATGTTAACAGCTCCGAGCTTTCTTACTCTTATTTCTGTGTTTATTTTCCATGGAATATACATTGAGTAGTGTTACACTCAAGACCAGATGCTAAAACTAACGCTTAGTGTTTAAACTGATGAATAAGCAACTCTTAGAACCTACTCTCAAAAATCATTGCAACAGTGAAGAAAAACAGGGAGTGATAATAAAAATGAAACAGACTGCCCAGGAGCTGGCAAATACTAAATATTGATGAAAGGTTCTCTTATAAGGAATTCTACTTTCATGTAGTAAGATGCTTAAAAAGAGACCTGTGGCTAGAGAGGTCATAGAGCTGAGAGGAGACCCTTCTACTGCCATTTTCCTAAACGAATATATTTTCCAACTATTCTAAAATACTTATCTTTATTCCTACAGATAAGTGTAGCTCCTTTCTACATTAGATGGAAACTATTACAGAGATCCAAAACAGGTCAAAATGAAGTATAGCTGGAGAGTTTATCTCCAGCTCCCACCAAACCCGCCAGTCCCGGAGCCCACTTATAAAATAAATACACACTCTTATATTATTTAAACTGATTGGCCTAAAGGCTTGGGCTTCTTGCTATCTAGTTCTTTTATCTTAAATTAACCCATTTTTATTAATCTATACTTTGCCACGTGGCTCGTGGCTTACCGGTACCTTACATCTGGCTTGTCATGGCGGCGGCTGGCAGTGTCTCTCTGCCTCAGCCTTCCACTTCCCAGAATTCTCCTCTCTCCTTGTCCCGCCTATACTTCCTGCCTGGCCAATCAGTGTTTTATTTATTAACCAATCAGAGCAACACATTTGTCATACAGAACATCCCACAGCAATGAAGAGTGTAAATAACTATGATTTCCCAACTCCAACTGATATAATTCGGGGAAAATCTCAGAAAGGCGGGGGACTGGATCTAAGAAAACCAGAGGACTAGGATGGTGTCTTCTCCATTTGTCAGGGAAGCTACACCCATTGACAATCAAAACAGCTCCACAATGACAACATCAACTGACAAGCCAAAAATAGACAGGTACAATTCCACGTGGTCACAGCCCTATATGAAGAGCTATGGGGGTGGGGGGTGAGGGGGTAATGGCTGCTGAGAGAGGGAGAATCAGTCTCCTCCAGGGACAAGTTCCCACATAAGATGTCCAATCCCAAGTAGTCAGCCCTAGACACATGTATGTACATATGAGCAGAGCTAAGTGGACCCAGGAGGTGTATACACCTGTGTGTGCATACATACAAATATTAACAACACACACACACACACACACACACACAATAGTAATTAAAAAAGCAATCATAGTTGGGCGGTGGCGGCGCACACCTTTAATCCCAGCACTCGGGAGGCAGAGCCAGGTGGATCTCTGTGAGTTCAAGGCCAGCCTGGTCTACTGAACGAGATCCAGGAAAGGCGCAAAGCTACGCAGAGAAACCCTGTCTCGGAAAAACTAAAAAAAAAGCAATCATAGATGGGGGGGCACAGGAAGAGTTGAAGACAGGAGGAGCTACAGAAGTAAGGCAGATGCAGTGCTCATGTATGAAGTTCTAAAAAAAAAAATTCAACAATAACAAAACTATATTGGTTATGCAATTGTTTGATAATAAAAACAGATCGCCATGTTTATATGTAAGGCTATCGGTGTTGCTCAAAACTGTTCCATGTTCCAAACAGCCCAAAGCTGGATAATTACAGGATTCTTTAACCCAGAGTTTTGGCTTTTACTTCCCCTCAATCCTCAGCAACAACAGAAAGATAATGTAGGAAGGACTTTTCCTGAACTGTATTTGCTTATGCCGTACATTTTTTTTCACTCCAGGTGATTTCTACTAAAGGCTAAGCGATGATATGGGTGATAAACAGCTATTCTCACTCAGTAGAATACTCTGGACACGAAAAATTTTAAAGTATAACTTCAAATTAAAGACTACAACAGGGAATTACATTTAACATAGGCAACAAACCAAAGATAAATTTCCCTAACATTTCAGAAGAGTAAAGATGACTTCAGAGAATACATATCAACCCATGTCATCACTACAGTTATCTCCAATCTTCTTTAAGTAGTGAAACAAACAGGCCTTTACCTGGCATGCATGTGGCTTTACCCCTGTGTGCTTCAGCATATGTATTCGGAGAGAGTATAACTTAGGTAATGTCCTTCCACATATGGAACATATAAATTCTCTTTTGGTTCTTCCCTTCTCAGATGATGCTCCTGACGCCTCATTCGATGTGGAATTAGATGAAGACGAACTGGGGGAGTCCTTTCTCGTATGCCGTATAAGGTGTGCTCGCAATGAGGCACTATACTGAAACTGTTTTTTACATAACTGAAAAAGAAAAATGAAAGTTCTTCCTATATAAAATGTTAAGTGAAAATTTACGTTTCTGTTTTCCAATTCTGGTTATAATTATAAAATTAAATAAACAAATACACGGTTTAAAAGCTAATATATATGGAACTGGGGAGATGTCTCGGGGGTTAAGTACTTGCCACACAACTCTGATGCTGTGTGGCACACAGCCACCTACATATACACACAAAAAATAGCCTAGGCCATATGAGACCCTGTCTCAAAAAAATAAAAAAATAAAAATAAAAAACAAAAAGTACTAGGTACCAGATTATAAATACGAGAAGGATAAGACTCCAGAGAGAATTAAGTATTTAAGAGGGCATAATCAGAGTAGGCTTGAGTTGGGTCTTAAAGGAATAGTAGAGTTTTACTTGGGATAGAGGGCTTGCTTAATCTGAGTGAGGTCCTGAGTTTGAATCCTGGCACAATCACCAAGATCACTACCCCAGAACACATGCAGAAAGTATTATCAATATATTAATACCAAGAGTTTTCGGTGGAAATGAAACAGGGACTAGAAAAAGTAGAAAAGTTAAGACTATGACAGTCTTCAGATTTTATCTTATAGTTACTGGGGTTCAGGAAAGCTCTTATGTGCTCATAAATTGAGGATATATATGCTCACCATATTAAAAATTTATTTAAAAATTTTTTTCATTAAAAAAAAAAAACAAGTCTTCTGACTCATTATTTCTGTATTGGCCTCTAGAATTAATTTTTACTGTCTCTCTTTTTTTTTTTTTTGGTTTTTTTTTTTTTTTTTTTTTTTTGGTTTTTCAAGACAGGGTCTCTCTGTGTAGCTTTGCGCCTTTCCTGGAACTCACTTGGTAGCCCAGGCTGGCCTCGAACTCACAGAGATCCGCCTGGCTCTGCCTCCCAAGTGCTGGGATTAAAGGCGTGCGCCACCACTGCCCAGCAAATTTTTACTGTCTCTCAATGTTTATTTTCTAATACCAAGTAGAGTGCATTTACATTCGTCCTCTGCACACTGTGTTATCGATTCCCATCATCTCACTTTAATAATATAGTTATGTCACATTAATTACAGCTGGTTCATATAAGATCAGTTTTGTTTTGTTTGTTTGTGTGAGACAGGTTCTCTCAGTCTGCCTATAACTTACCTTAAAGTCCAAGCCAGCCTGACTCTTCTCCTGCCTCAACCTCTGAATGCTGGAATTAGAGAGCCACTATACTTGGTTATTGGTTATGAATGCTATCAATACTTTGCTGCATGATATACTTTGATCCTTTCACTTTTTATTTTCTGTTTTGCTTATGTCTCTTTATATTACCAACTGATCACTAAAAATCTTCACCACTGTAACTTTAAACAAACTGTCCTGTCTTCTAATTTTAATTTTTTTCTTTCTGAATTTCACTCTGTTCATCCATGTCCACAGACACAAACTTCATAGTAATAATCTTTTCATATAGGTTTCTTCTTGCTATCCAATGTCCTAGGCACAACCTTCTTTTGTGTGTCTTTTTTTGTTTTTTTGAGACAAGGTCCCTCTGTGTAGCTCTGGCTTGCCTCAAATTCACGGAAACCCATCTGCTGCTGTTTCTGAATGTTGGGATCTAAGGCAGGCGCCAACATGCCTTGCTCTAGATTTAATATTTTAAGATGAAAACATCTGGCTTTTTCTCCCCTTCTTTCTATCCATGCTCTGAAAACATACTTAAAAACTTCAAAACAATCTAATCTTCCTATTTATTTTCACTCCTGTTTTCTAAGTGATTCTCTTGCTCTATTTTCTGGGACATTTATTCAACTGTACACACCAACTTTTCTGAGGTATTTGTTACTATCTAGATGTTCTTCCATTTACAGTGGGGTCACATCATAATAAAGTTAAAAGTCTTCCAGTCAGATCTGTTTGTTGGAGACATCGGTATTTTATTTAAAAGTCTTCCAGTCAGATCTCTGTTTGTTGGAGACATGCATTTTATTTAAAAGTCTTCCAGTCAGATCTCTGTTTGTTGGAGACATGCATTTTATTTAAAAGTCTTCCAGTCAGATCTCTGTTTGTTGGAGACATGCATTTTATTTAAAAGTCTTCCAGTCAGATCTGTTTGTTGGAGACATCAGTATTTTATTTAAAAGCTGCTGTTTTCCTCAGTGTGCCTTTGTCCCTGGGTGTGCATCTGACACTGTCTTGACTGCTCTTCCTGTGACAAAGGACAGGACAGGTGACGAAGGGGGAAAGTGCTGAGCAGCAGCCCTTCTTCAGAGCGCTATGCTTCCTGACTGTGGACGGACCAACACTTACTTCAAGCTCTTGCAGCCAGAATAAAGCCTTTCCCCTTCAATTCCCTTGGTAAGAGTATTTTATTGCCGGGCAGTGGTGGCACATGCCTTTAATCCCAGTACTCGGGAGGCAGAGCCAGGGGGATCTCTGTGAGTTCAAGGCCAGCCTGGTCTACAAAGTGAGTTCCATGACAGCCAGGACTATTACACAGAGAAACCCTGTCTCAAAAAACCAAACCAAAAAAAAAAAAAAAAAAAGTTCTAAGGAATAATGAAAAGACCTGTACAAGTTTAGTATAGGAAAAAATTGTAAACATTTTAAAAGTTGTGTTTATGTGAGAAGGATTTTGTCTACATGTGTGTATGTACATACACCACGTTCATACCTGGTACTTGCAGAAGTCAAAAGAGAGTCAATCCCCTGGGGTTACAAATGGTTGTTAGCTATCATGTGGGTGCAGGAAACCAAATGTGAGTCCTGTGCAAGAGCAACAAGTGCTCTTGCTGGCGAACCATCCCTCTAGCCCCTGAAAATATTTTTAACATACACTGCTTGAATCTGTGGGTATGGAATCTATCAATACAGGGGGCTTGATTGTATTTGGTTGTTTCACAGATGCAACTTATTTTTTACATAAATCTTATTTTGTAGACTTTATTTCTTTTGGGGGACAGTTTCTCATTTATATAATCAAGATTTTCCTTGAACTCACACTCTTCCTGCCTCAGCCTCCATATGCTATGATTACAAGAATACACCACCACTCCTCCTTGCTTGGGAGAGATTTTGTTGTTGTTTTTTTTTATTATCAAGATCTTGGATTCCTCAACCTTTCTTGGAATCTTTTGTCCTAAGATTTGTGATATTTTTTTGTATAATTGGGCAGAAAATTAAACAAAAACAAAAAACCAACTAACTGTGGTACAGTATGTAACTAGCATGTGCAAGGCCCTGGATGCTATCCCCAGCACCAATCAACACTGAAGTGGAAGCAGTATTTCTCAGTATCAACCTGAGGCTCTGGCTAGCAATACCATTAGGTCTTTTGTTATTGATCTTCAGATTTCTCTATTTGCAGAGAAAACATTTTGTTTTAAAGTTAAGGGTTTGAGTCCTCACATCATGGTACTTGAGTAAAGAAAGAACTTGAAAGGTTTCAATATTCAGTAAGTAAACTCCTTTTTCTGGTTTGGGGTAGATAACTACCCTCAATGTACACTGTCCTCCCCAGGGCAGTTATAATTTTTTCCCCCAAAGGGAAGGGAGATCCTTGGCCAAAAGGTGATAATGTTATTGCTCCTAATCTCAAAATGATCAGCAAATTCAATTCTTGGGTCTTGTTGGCTCTATAATACAAATGTGATGTATTTTCAGCTTTCTCTATTGGAAATCTAGTTCAAATTCAGAGAATCACTTTATACATTTATTGGCAGACAGAATTTAGTTGCCTAGGTCTCGTCTTCTGCTACCTTACCTTTTAATGTTTTTTTAAAATTTAGATTGATTAATTTTTATGTGTGTGACTGTTTTGCCTGCATGTATGTATGTGCATCAAACATGTGCCTATAGATGGTTGTGAGCCACCATGAGGATGCTGAGAACCACAACTGGGTCCTCTGCAAGAAAAACAAATGTTTTAAACTGCTGAGCCATCTCTGTAGCCCCAAGTTTACTGTTTGTAAATTACAGATGGTTGTGAGCCACCATGTGGTTGCTGGGAATTGAACTCGGGACCTCTGAAAGAGCAGCCTCTCCAGCCCCACTGTCCTCTTCTTGAGGATACACAGAAGAAAGAGTATTCAGGTGGGGCAAATAATAACATGAATCAGAATCTTTTAGCAATATAAGAAATGGTTGGGGGTGTGGTTATGCCTGCCTGTTATCCCAGTACTTGAAAGCCTGAATTAGGAGGACTGCCTCAAATCTGAGGCTAGCCTGAGTTACAATGTAAGACTTCATGTTCTATTTAGCTACACAGAGAAACCCTGTCTCGAAAAAACAAAACAAAACAAAAACTGTAGTAGGGATAATAGAGCAGATGAATTCCATTTATGAATGTAGGGTCATTTTCAGTTAGCTTTCCAGGCACTTACCGGGCATTTGTAATCTCTAGCTCTTTCATGTTTCAATGTGTGCATTATAAAGGCATATCGTCTTTGAAAAACCATTCCACATTCCCCACATTTATGAGACGTTTCTTCAGTGTTCTCCTTAGCATCCCTTTTGGGTTGTTTCATCTTTTTCCCTCTTTGAACTAATTTCTGGGCCACCTAAGTAGACAGAAAACACAATCTAAGAAAATACACTCGCCGGGCGGTGGTGGCGCACGCCTTTAATCCCAGGACTCGGGAGGCAGAGCCAGGCGAATCTCTGTGAGTTCGAGGCCAGCCTGGGCTACCAAGTGAGTCCCAGGAAAGGCGCAAAACTACACAGAGAAACCCTGTCTTGAAAAACCAAAAAAAAAATACACTCATTATTTTTCAAGACATGGTCTTGGTAGTAGTCCAGGCTGGCCTGGTATTATATAGCCTAGATTGGCCTCCAACTCACAGCAATCCTCTTGCCTCACATGCAACACCATGTCTGGCCTCCGTATCATTTTTAAAGTCATGGGATTTGTAATACAGTACTTTAGGCAGTAAACTGCTTCCCCTTTCCCTGCACATCCCCCTCCTACAATTTTTATTGTAGGCACGAGTTCATTACTAGAATGCCCTCAAGCTAGAGTGACAAAAACCACCTATTTCCCATCATACCTGCTGAACTGCAGACTTAGAAATGGCTTTCCGCTTCTGTAACTTTTTCTCCATGCCCTTGTGTAGCCGGATGTAGCCCCCTTCATTAACAGACCGCTGCCTAAGCCTACTTCTGTAAGTATCATCCTCTGGGCCTGAGTCTGTCTTTTCTGTGGTCTCAATCAGAGCTTCCTGATCTTTTAGAGGCTGGTCAGGGCTCTGACTACCATCGGGAAAGTCCTTGGCACTGATGTCCCCAGGCGATGTGTCACTTCCTGGATCACTGTCCTCTTGAGAAATATTGATTACATTCTCTTTTGAAATGTTAGGATGAACATTATCAACTGGGCCCTCCTCTCTGATGACTGCAGTCTCTATTTCTGTTTGGTTGGTATTTGTTTCTAAGCTAGTAGTCCCTACTTCAGAATGGGGATTAGTTATACACTCTACAGGGGACACACTAGCTTCAGCCTCTGGAGAAACCTGCGGCAGAGGCTGCTGTCCTGGCTCCCCACTCTGTTCTGTTTCTGGCAATTCTCCATTTACCAGCAGGACAATTTCACAATGTCCAAGTTCACTCGACAAAGCTGTGGTTGCTTCATTCCTAATCACAGGTGCTGCTGTAGTTCCATTGTGTGCTGGCAAATCCTGAGTAGATGCGACCGTTTGTACTTCACCTTTCTTATACACTGTTAGCTGCTTTTCTTCCATTAGTTTATGCACACTTTCACAAATTTCTAAAACTTCTGACATAAAAAGATGGCGAGCTAAGATAGCTACATCAGCCATGCTGCAGAAGTCAAAACTTAGTACAGAAGTATAGGCAAATTCCAGCAAAGGAAGGAAGCTTGCTTTACAAAAACCTGTATGAAACAAGAGAAAGCAAAGAACAAAAAAGTCAATCATTACAAAACTACTTTCTATGAATAATATAGACTTGCGACAAGAATATAGTGAAAAGCCAACTGCTACCATTATTCTACAATTAGTTATCAGTGGATTTTCTCTAATTTCTGGTTGCTATTAAACAACCTTGACTAACTCACATCCATGAGCTGAGTTTCTAAACCACTATAAAGAAGAAAATAATAACAGACTTAATACCTCAAGAGTTGTTATAAGGCAGCCATTTTCAAACTGTACTCCTTAGAACCCTGGGGGTTCCTCAATTCCCTTCAAGAAACAGTTGCTGGAGAATAGAGGGTAAAAAAGGGGAGGGGGTAGGAAAGTGAATAGACAGGGACCAACCAACCTGTCCCCTCTCTTCACTTATTACAGATAGCTATATTTTCTAATAGTAGCAGTCCATATAAAAATTTAATTGAACAAAGTGCTCTACCTGTGCACATTAAAAACTAAGATTTGGAGCCAGTGAGATGACTCTGGTAAAGGCACTTGATAACTTGAGGTCAATCCCTAGAACACACATGATGAAGGAGAGAACCAACCAATTTCCACAAGTTGTCTTCAGACCTCTACAACTGTGCCTTGCCTGGCACACAAATGCCCCCACACCTACACCCATACTAAATAAATGTATTAAAAAACAACCACCTAAATTTTGAGCCCAGGGATGTAGATATAGCTCAGTTGCTAGAATTCTCGACTAGCAGGAACCAGTGGGTTTGATCTCCTTAACACATAAAATCAGGTGTGTGTGGTGTATCCCTGTAATCCTAGCACTCAAATTGGAGCAAGGAAGATCAAAGTTCCAAGTCATCTCTTGGGCTACGTAAGGTTCAAGGCCAGCCTGGGATATATAAAATCTTACCTCCAAAACAACAAAAACAAAAACTACAATTTAAAGCAAGGGTTACTAAATACTTTCTGCCATGAATCAGGGAATAAATACTGCAGGTCATAAGGTATCTGTCATAACCACTCTGCTTTGAAATTATAGCTGAAAAGCAGATTAAATGGGTATAGATGCCCAACTTTCATTACAAAAATAGAAAGGAGGATAGATAACTGGGTTAGATGGTTTATCCTGGATTCAAGGAATAAAATAATTATTGTAGAATCATTAGTTAATACTATGAAATATTGAATTATTTTCTTGTAACAGGATAAGTTCAATTTGCTTCTCGGTGCTTTACTTTCAGTAGTCATTTTAAATTCATACACACACCCTAAAATGTAAGAGAAAAGCACTCTGCAGTGATGACTGTAATTCTATTTTCACAGACAGATGATGATGAAGTTGTACAAGACTACAGGTGAAAGTCAGTGCACAGCACACCTGCAAAGTCCTAGATCCAACACCCACTTTTCTCTTTCCCTTGTCCAAAAAAAGTGCTTATCTTTCTGGAGTTGGTTTTAGGTTAACAAACCAAGTTATGGGTGTTGACTTCTCTCTCTCTATGTGTGCTTATACTTCATTCTTTCGTTGTGGCCTCTACTAAACACCTCCCCCTTCAGACAGATGATTCCCTTCCTCCTCCCAAAGCCCCCTTCTATTCATGATACTACTCTATTTCCCATCTCCTTTAAAATCCCCTCCTTTCCTCTTCCTTTCTATTTTATGATCGGCAAGCATGCCTACTTTAAAATGTGGGGGATGAATGAGGAAAACCATGTAGTACTTTTTTGTTGTTCTAACTTTCTTTTTTTTTATTTTTTTGGTTTTTCGAGACAGGGTTTCTCTGTGTAGTTTTGGTGCCTCTCCTGGATCTCGCTCTGTAGACCAGCCTATCCTCAAACTCACAGAGATCCGCCTGGCTTTGCCTCCCGAGTGCTGGGATTAAAGGCGTGTGCCACCGCCGCCTGGCTTGTTCTAACTTAAAGCAATAATTTATTACAAATAAAACAATGGCTAAAGAATCCATCTCACTGTTAACACTGAAAATCCTAAAATGAATCTCAGAAAAAAAAAAAAAAAGACTTCTTTGAAATAAATGGCACAAAATAGACAATGGCTAAAATTCCTTAAGGGATAATCTGTCCTTAAAAATGACAGGAAAAGAAAACATTTTGTTTCTTTTTGGTTTTTGTTTTGAAAAAGGATCTCACTATATAAACTTCACTTAACAATGATTTCAAATTCTATCTGTTGTTCTAAATAAGCATGGATTTCATTCTCTAGGGATGAATGAAATTCCATTCTGTGCATATACAACATAATTCTTTATTCATTTATCTTGATGAACATCTAGTCTGGTTCAATTTCTTACCTATTATGATTAGTGAAGCAATAAACATAGATGTACAAGTATTTCTACAGCATATTGACTTTACCCAGGAAAGGTAAAAGTGGGTCATCTGTAGCAGTTTATTTTTCGTGTTTGGTTGTTGTTGTTGTTTATTTTATTTATTTTTGAGGCAGGATCTCTCTACATAGCCTTGGCTGTCCTGTAACTGACTATGTAGACCATGCTGGCCTCAAATTGGCAGAGGCCTGTCTCTGAAAGCTGGGGTTAATGATGTGTACCACCTCATCCAACAACTCCATACATATTTTTATAATGTCTACACAAGTATACTTTCCCACCCACAATGAATAATAGATCTTCTTTTCTCACTTTTTTTTTTTTGGTTTTTCGAGACAGGGTTTTTCTGTATAGCTTTGGGCCTTTCCTGGAATTCACTCAGTAGCCCTGGCTAGCCTCGAACTCACAAAGATCCACATGGCTCTGCCTCACGAGTGCTGGGATTAAAGGCGTGCACCACCACCGCCCAGCTTCTTTTCTCACATTTTCACCAGCATCTGTAGTCATTTGTTTCGTTATTCGATGTGGGTGAGAAGGAATCCCAAAGCAATTTTTATTCTTATAAATGGATATAGGTGATTGCTTGCATGTAGGTGTGTGCATTACTTTAATATCTGGTATCCTCAGAGAGCAGAAGAGGGAGTCAGATCGCCTGGAAAGGGAGTTACAGATGGTTGTCAGCTGCCATGTGAGTGCTGAGAATTGACCCTGGGTCCCCGAGAAGAGCAGCCAGCCCTCCTAACTACTGAGTCAATCTCTCTGGCAATTTTAATTTGCATTCCCCTGATGGCTAAGGATATTCAACACTCAAGTTCAAGTTCAAGTTCGTTTTTTTTTTTTTTTTTTTTTTTTTTTTGATTTTACGAGACAGGGTTTCTCTGTGTAGCTTTGTGCCTTTCCTGGATCTTGCTCTGTAGACCAGGCTGGCCTCGAACTTCAAGTTCAAGTTTTTATTAGCCTTTGTATTTCTTCTTTTGAGAACTGTATTCAATTCATTTATCCATCAATTGGCTGAAAGATTTGGGAGGAGCTTACTCTCTCCTCTCTCCTCTCTCGTGTGTGTGTATCAAGGGTGTCTGATTTTTGTAGTTCTTCATATATTTTGGTTATTAATCTCAGTCTGATATGTAATTGCCAGACTTTCTCCCCACTCTGTAAGCTGTCTCACTTTTTTTTTTCCTTTGCTTTTCAATTTCAAGAAATCGCATTCATCAATTCTTTCCAAGAGTCCTTGCCAAGATGTGGATCTAGTGCCATTCTTCTTGAGCTAACCCAGTCTGCCCAACGCTATGTTAAAGTAGCTGTTTTTCTCCAATGTCTGTTTGTCAAAAGTAAAGTCTAACTATATAGGTGCACTGCTAGGCCCCTCTGTTGTATTCCATTGTCCCAAATGTCCTCTGTCGCGCTGGCTCTGTAATATATATGACCCAGGCTTAGTACTCTGGGATCTCCAGCACTGCTCTTTCTGCTAAGGATTGCTTTTGCTGCGTGCACTGTTTTGTTTCCATATGAATTTTCATTTTTGTTTTTTTCCCCAAATTCTGTGAAGAATGTCATGGATTTTGATGGTGTAGTGCGTAGCTGTTCTAGCCTTGAAGCACCACCCTAGTGAGGTAGCAGGTTAACTGTTACACCTGCCTATGACCTTGAAGTACATGCCCCTGGGGCGTGGCTGCTCATGCGGACCCTCAAGACCTGGGATGCACGGGCGCCTCTCTTCGCCTCCTGGTGATATTGGATGCTGAGATATTGAACCAGGCAAATCAGTGGGACCTTATGATAAATCTCCCATGGTAGTGAATTAACCCCTAAACAAATTCCTTTGTTCATTAAATAGACTCCATGGATTTCTCGAATTATGATGAAGATTATGTTGAATCTGTAGATTTGAGAACGTAGCCATTTTTATAAAATTCATTCTGCCAATCCCTTTGTATGGCAGGTCTTTCAATCTCCTGTCTTGTCAAGTTTCTTTATGTCATCCAGGTATTCTTATCCCCTCTCCACCCCCTATACACACTGCCTACACTTTGCTCTTTTCATACAACAGTACATCCTCCTAAAACACGGAGATAAACTGTGAGACCGATTTAATACATAGAAAAAGCAACTGTTTTTATCCTAGGTATATAAAATATAGAGCTTTTATACACATAGACAAGTCATTAAATCATATACTAACAATAATCCATTTTGACTTTTTACCGAATGTCGTTTTAATTTCTCAGTTCAAAGATCTAAAGGGCAAGGGAGAAATTTAATCATAAAAATCCCTCTTAGGAGGAATTCCAAATGACTAAGTATCTAAAATAAGTAATGTGTTAAAGTATTGTAAAGAAAGTAAGAAATTCTGCCGGGCGGTGGTAGCGCACACCTTTAATCCCAGCACTCGGGAGGCAGAGGCAGGCCTATCTCCGTGAGTTCGAGGCCAGCCTGGGCTACAGAGCGAGATCCAGGAAAGGTGCAAAGCTACACAGAGAAACCCTGTCTCGAAAAACAAAAACAACAACAAAAAAAAAGAGTAAGAAAGAAATTAATCCACTCAGATTCCTTCTCTTACGAGGTAATTGATAACTCCGCTTTATTTTTACCTTTAGCTTGTTTACACACACACACACACACACACACACACACACACACACACACATTCATCCCCCCGCCCCCAGAACATTTTAATCAAAATCAAATAGATAGAACTACTAGGGCAAGCTAGAAGGCCAGAAGTAACTTCTATGTGACCTAGTGAGGGGGGAAAATTAAGAAAAAAAAAAAAAAAAAAAGGCTGGATAGTGGTGACTGCCTTTAATCCCAGCAAGCACTCAGGGGCTGTCAGTTTGAAGCCAGAGCTGTTACACAGAGAACCCTATATTGAAAAACAAACAGAAACAAAAACAGGGAGCTGGAGAGATGGCTCAGAGGTTAAGAGCACTGGCTGCTCTTCCAGAGGTCCTGAGTTCAATTCCCAGCAACCACATGGTGGCTCACAACCATCTGTAATGAGATCTGGTGCCCTTTCTGGCCTGCAGGCACACATGCAGGCAGAATACTGTATACATAATAAACAAATCTTTAACACAACAACAACTCAAGTACAAAGAGAACGAGAACTTCTAAATCCACAAAATCAACACGATTCAGCTTTGCAGCTCCTTGTGGGGTGGGCAGGGAAGCACTTTCAAAAGGTAAGCTAGGTAAGGAAGGGATGGGCAACCTGCTCTCTGCACACCTCCAGCAGAGAAAAGAAATCATTCCACATTGTCCCTGAATAATAACTCAGAGAGCAGCAGCTGGGCACCATCTTGACAGAGAGCCTGTTATTAAACCCTGAGCTCCCATGGATGCCTAAGTACAAGAACAACTGCAGGCAGGAAGCCTCAAGCTGACCAGATCCTAGCAAATCCCAACGTTCCTCAAAATGTTTATAAAACAGAACGCCAAGCTCATTCTAAGAAACCACCATTACCCTGGTATAAAACTGGATAAGAACATGAAACAAACAAACTAATAAATGATAAAAAGTGAGAGATGACTACAAACTAATTTTCCTGGTGAACACAGATACAAAAATTCTGAGCCAGGCACAATGATGCGTACTTTTAATCACAGCACTTGGGAGGCAGAGGCAGGCAGATCTCTATGGGTTCAATGTCAGCCTGGTCTACATAGTGAGTTCCAGGATAGCCAGAGCTGTCCCTGCCTCTAAAACAAAACAAAACAAAAAAGAAAAGAATTCTGAACAGTATTGTTGTAAATTGAACACATTAAGGCACCAGGTGTAGACAAATACTTTGATCCCAGCACTCAGGAGGGAGAGGCAGGGAAATTTCTATGAATTTGAGGCTAGCCTAGTCTTCACAATGAGTTCCAGGACAGCCAGAACTACATGGTAAGACACTACCCCCACTCCATTCCCATCCCCGACAAAGAACACATTAATACCTCATGAGTGGTTTCATCCAGGGACTCAAGATTGATTCATCAAATGCAAACCAATAAAGCGTATGTAATACAGCACATAGACTTAAGAATAGAAACAACATGAGAGAAGGGCATGGCAGCCCATGACTTTACACACAGGAGACAATGGCATGTGAATCTCTGTGAATTACGGTCAGCATGGTCAACATAGCGAGTTTCAGACCAAGCAGAGCTTTATAGATACACCTTGTCTAAACCAAGAAAGAAAAAAAGTAAGTAAACCAACCACTTTATAATCTCAATTGATAGCAGGAGGACCTTCAACAAAGCTCAACATGCCTTCAGGACAAAAAAGCCCCAAATAAACTACGAATAAAAGGAACATACCTCAACATAATAAAGGCTATCTATCTATCTATCTATCTATCTATCTATCTATCTATCTATCTATCTATCTATCTATAACAAACCTATAGCCAACATCGTACAAAGGGAGACTATCTAGAATGAGACCAGACTGGTGTCTACTCTTTCCATTCTTTTTTTTCCCCTGAGACAGGGTTTCCCTGTGTTGTTTTGGTGCCTGTCCTGGATCTCGCTCTATAGACCAGGCTGGCCTTGAACTCAGAGATCCACCTGGTTCTGCCTCCTGAGTGCCGGGGTGACGCCTGGCTTCACTCTCTCCACTCTTAATGAATATTGCTTGAAGTCTTAGGTAAACAATAAAGCAAGAGAAAAAAAATTACAAATCAGAAAGGGGAGAATGAAAAAAAAACTATTCTCATTTGCAAATGACGTGATTCTTTACTTTTTTTTTTTTTTTGGTTTTTCAAGACAGGGTTTCTCTGTGTAGCTTTGGTTCCTGTCCTGGATCTTGCTCTGTAGACCAGGATGGCCTCGAACTCACAGAGATCCGCCTGCCTCTGCCTCCCAAGTGCTGGGATTAAAGGCGTGAGCCACCACCGCCCGGCCTGTGATTCTTTACTTAAAAGATTCTAGGGCCTGGAGAGATGGCTCAATGGTTAAGAGCACTGATTGCTCTTCCAGAGGACCCAGGTTCAATTCCCAGCATCCACATAGCAGTTTATAGCTGTCTATAACTCCAGTTCCAGGGGACCCAACACCCTCACCCAGGCAAACATGAGACAAAATACCAATGCACATGTTAAAAAAAAAAAAGACTTTAAAAACATTGGAAACCCTTAGAAAAGTAGCAGGACATACACACTATTAAAGTCAGTAGGTTTTCTATATATCAATGACAAATCTGCCAAGAAATTAGAGGAAAACCTCATTAATAATACTTTTCCAAGCAAAAACAAAACAAAAACTAGACCTCTACAATTAAAAACTTCAAGACAGTGAAGGGGGAAAAAACTGAAGACACTATTTAACAGCACTATTAACATGGAAACCCTGTTCCTGTTCATAGACTGGCAGAACTAATACTATCAAAATAGCTGTTAACTGAAAGCAGTACACAGATTTGACACACTCACAAGGACATTCTTCACAGAACTAGAAAGACAATCCTAAATCTATGTACAAACACACAGCACCTCATGATAAACCAAGGGATACTAAGCGGGAAGGACAATGCTGCAGGGTCTTAAAACCAGACCTGAAATTCTATTATAGAGCCATAGTAACAAGAACAACAACAAAAACCACGGTTCTGGCACAGGAACAGATCTTGCGACCTCAATGGTGTTTGGGGGAGTTGGGGAGAGTATGGAAACAGGCAGATCCCTGAAATTCATTGGCCAAGCAACCTGGCCCAAATGATGAGCTTCAGGTATGGTGACCGGCCATGAGACTTGGTCTCAAAAAATAAATATGGAGAGCAATAGAGAAAAGACACCTGATGTAGACCACTATACATGCTAACAAATACATTCACCACTTACACAAAATTATAATCACACACAAGTACAATATATAAAGTCCCATGTTTCAGAAAACAAGATATTAAGTAGGCAATTTTAAAGTATTATTTTCATTCAACATAATAATACTAAGTTGTAGATTTCTCTGTTTCATTCCAATCCCAGAAATAACTCTACTACAATTCCCTGACCTTAAGAGGCAGTGCTAAGAAATGACAGCCTTTCTGCCAGGTGTGGTTGCACACACTTTGAATCTCAGTGATTGGGAGGCAAAGTGAGATGGATCTGAGTTCAGAGGCCACCCTGGTATATAGAGTGGGTTCAAGGACAGCCAGGGCTACACAGATAAACCTTTGGAGGTGGGGGGGGAGGGGACACAACATCCCCAAAACAAAACAGCCTTTCCACAATCATCTTAGAAGCCTTGCTTTAAAAGGACTTTCCCATTGAGAAAACAGGCCTACATTTATTTATTTATTTATTTATTTATTTTGGTTTTTCGAGACAGGGTTTCTCTGTGTAGCTTTGCGCCTTTCCTGGAATTCGCTTTGGAGACCAGGCTGGCCTCGAACTCACAGAGATCCACCTGGCTCTGCCTCCCGAGTGCTGGGATTAAAGGCGTGCGCCACCACCGCCCGGCCAGGCCTACATTTTGACATACATCTATTTGTTTGGAAGATACATATGTATTTCCCTTCTAGAGGACGCTTATTAATAAACAGCAAAGGGTATTAGAAAAATCTTACCAGAAAGATCCACGACCGCCTCATGACTAGAAACAGCTCCCTTTTCAATAAAAAGATCTCGAAAATATTCACTATTTGCTGACAGAACAGACTTATGAGCTTTGTACTCTTCTCCTTCAATTAACAACGTAACATCACAGAATTGGTTGGAAAGCCTCTGTTCATTCAGCTGTTTCAAAACTGCCTGGCAATGTTTTGGAGAAGAACGTTTCACCACTCCTTTGGTGTCAACCTGTCAAAATATGTTTGAGATCAAGAGATATATTACATATACACAGTATAAGGAAGTATATTAAAGGGTCTCAGCATTAGAAGTTTGAGACCACTGCTTTAGACAAATACATCCCCTCAGTCTCAGCACTCATAGTCAACAATGTTACAGACTTAGACAAACAAACAACCACAAAATCCTTTCAGATAAAAGTTGGCTAGAAAGCACACTTACAAATACAAGTTCATGTTTCGATACTGGCTTCTTTTTTGAAGACTTGGAGGCTGTGGTTGGAGGTGAAGTGAAGTTGCTCAGGTCATCCTCTGATTCATTACTTTCTTCTCCAGATTCAAGGTCCAATCCCAATTCTTCCAACATTTCTGAAGCATCTGATATTGGACGGGAGCGATCAAGCTTCTCCTGGCATTTGCTACACTGTTTTATGTAATCTTTAACTTGCTTTAGAATACCTTCAGTCCAGAAAACAATAACAACAACAAAATTAACACCAAATTTAAGTGTTCCTACTTGAAAGTTGAAGAATGTTATCATTTTATGTATACACTAATTTATGTTCAGATGCATATATGCAAGCAGACTCACACCCATAAAGAATGTAGAGTGAATTCTTCAGACTGTGAGACATATTGTCTCAAAAATTTAAGTATATGATTGTAATTTGCTTCCACATTGAGACAGACTTTTCTTAATTATTATCAGGTATTCAATTTCCCCTAGCATGAGATGATTATATATCCTTGCCCATTTCTTTGTGCATTACAAGGCATCCATGCAATAAAAGTTATATTTTGCAGAATGATGTTTCTGTCAGCTATGGACCAAATATATGACAATGCTACTGTAATACAGCCCATACCATCTAGATTCATAGAAGTACATTCTACGTTCATAAGACCACAAAATCACCTAATACATTCCTCAGTATCTACACTATACCCCTGATGCTAAATACACGAAACCAGTACTCAACTGCCTTGACCTACACAGACAGTTCATATGGCTGAAGCCACACTGAGAAGTAATTTTTCCAAATTGTTTTTAAAGTTGTCACTATACCTCATGCAGAAATAGCTATATTGGGCTGGAGAGATAGCTCAGCAGTTAATAATGCTCACTGTGCATCCAGAGGACCTGAGTTCAGTTCTCAGCCAGTCAGGCAATTCACAACTGCCTATAACACCAACTTTAGCAGCTCTCTCTTCTGGCCTCTGTGGCATCCACACATGGCATACACGTACACATACTCACACAAATACACACAATTAGATTTTCTTTAAAAAAAAAAAAAAGAAAGAAAGAAAATCTTGACTTTAAGCCTCTCAGACACTAGCATACAGCTCTGTTGGTCTCTAAGTCTATGCCTTTGTAAGTGTTTTTGAGTAGTTATACTAAACCTCAACCCATTTATTTGTGTGTGTGCTAGTTTGTTTACCGCTGCTTTATAATTGAACATCAAAGATCGAGTCATTCCTAATTTGAATTTATTTGGTCAGTTCTTGAAGCTGGGAATTCAAGACTGAAGGCCAACATCTGATGAAGACTGCCCTGATACTTCATAACAGCAGAAGACGTGTGGCAATAAGCAGCTAGAGAGGCTAACTCCTCTGTCATTCCAAACCTACTCTCCATAATGAACCCTACTCTTGTTATGATGGCAGAAATTACTTAAGGATATTGCTATTAACAATACCGCATAGAGGGGGCTGGAGAGATGGCTCAGAGGTTAAGAGCACTGGCCCTTCTTCCAGAGGACCTGGGTTCAATTCCCAGCACCCACATGGTGGCTCATAACCATCTATAATGAGATAATATAACACATGAATTTTAGGTTGATAGATTCAAACCATAGCAATTTAGTCTGTGAGCCAAGAGATATGGTAAATTCCTAGGTTCAGTAGATCACTGCAGACGTGAGAGTTTTTAATATATCAATTATGTATCTGTAAAATGAAAACCTATGGGGGCTGGAGAGATGGCTCAGAGGTTAAAAGCACTCTGGCTACTCTTTCAGAGGACCCAGGTTCAAGTACCAGCACCCACATGGTAGCTCACAACTGTCTATATCCAGGGGATCCAGCACCCTCACAAAGACATACATGTAGGAAAACAACAATTCACACAAAATAAAGTAAATAAATAAATAAAAAGAAAACCTATTTCAGAATTTATTAGAACAGTGACAACATTAACTTCTTCTTATAAAATGTATTTATTTTACTATGTATGTGCTTGACCATGCCACAGCACATGTGTGAAAGTCAGAGGACAGCTTTCAGGACTTAGTTCTCCTCTTTCCTGCGGGTTCCAGGGACTGAACTCATGCTGTCAGGTTGGCAGCAAGTGCCTTTACCTGACGAGCCGTCTGCCCAGCCTTATGCAGTGACTACGTAAAAAATTATCTTTAGAGACCACTCCTTTAAGAAAAAAAAGATTTATTTATATTTTATGTGTATGAGTGGTTGGTTGTGAGGGGCTCTAGCAAATAAAGATTACATCCCTAAAACTAGCCACCAAGGTCTGTTCCCTTATTTGGACACTTTCTTATGCTAGACTCACTTTTAAGGCTGATCACCAAGGTCCAACAATCAAAGTAATAAAGTTGAGCAATCAAAAGCCCCCTTTAGGCTACCCCAATTAACATGCTCAATCAAAACATACCACTGAATCCTGACCCATTCTCACACAAACCTCCCCCTTTTTCCTCTTAAAAACTCCCACCTGCAAGGTCATTGGCTGCTGTTTTCTGAGTCTAAAATCAGCCACTTTACTTTTCTTCCCTGCTTAATAAAAAAATCTGTGAAAATGGGTGTTTGGGGGTGGTTTGTGCTTAATCCGGGGTCTGGGAGGCAGCACCCCATTGTGTGTGGGTCCCTTCAGGTTGCATGTATGTATGTACATCACATGTGTGCCTGGTGCCCATGGAAGGCATAACAAGAGTGTTGAATCTCATGAACTGGAGTCACAGATGACTGTAAGCTAACATACAGGTGCTGGGAACTAAATCCTAGTCTTCTACAAGATCAGCAAGTGTTTGTAACTTCTGTGCCATCTCTCCAGGCCCTCAGTAAATACTTTTAAGTATAAGATATAACAGGTTTGTGAAGGTTGAAAATATAATGAATTTGGGGCTGGAGAGATGGCTCAGGTGTTAAGAGCTCTTATTACTGCTGTAGAATAGTCAACAGAGAAATGCATAATTAGTGTTTTGGGAGAGACACTGGAAGAGGGGAAGTGAGCTTTTAGCAACCTGTCGCTCTCTTTGCTAACAAATTCTAGACTCCACTTTTCATCTGAAAATGAAAACCAGATAAACTGATAGCGTGCCTTTTGTTTGTCTGAGACATCTTGGCTAGCTCAGGTTAGCCTCAGACTCACTATGTAATGGAAGCTGGTCTTTAACCGTGATCCACTTCCCTCTCAAGCCACAGGATTACAGGCATTCACCATCATCCTAGTCAGGAATCCCCACCTTATTTAAAGAGTTCCACTCTAATTGGTGAGTATATAGATATATTACTCTCCAAATCGACTCCAGCCCAGAATTGTATTAAAATGTACATTGCTATAGCCAGGCGTGGGGGAATATATGACTATATTCATTGTGTATACATGTACACAAAATCCTTATAAAGAAAAATTAGCCGGGTGGTGGTGGTGGCGCACGCCTTTAATCCCAGCACTCAGGAGGCAGAGCCAGGTGGATCTCCGTGAGTTTGAGGCCAGCCTGGGCTACAGAGAGTTCCAGGAAAGGCGCAAAGCTACACAGAGAAACACTGTCTCGAAAAACAAGCAAACAAACAAAAAAACAAGAAAAATTAATTTAAAAAGGGACGGGGTGGGGGGGGGGGGGGCGTTTGAAAGGATGGCTCAGTAGTTAAGAGCACTTACTGTTCTTGCAGAGGACCCAGGATTGGTTCCCAGCACCCATATGGTGTCACACAACCATGTGTTACAGAATCCAATGCCCTCTTCTGACCTCTGTATCAAGCATGCACATATACACATGCAGATAAAACACTCATACACATAAATAGATCATAAAACACACACACACACACACACACAAAGGTATTAGCTGACTGAGTTCAAGTAGCACTAGAGAAACTTCATCCAAAGCATCGAATAAGGATGAAAGTGGTAAGAAAAACTACGTCCCTATCTACAACAAGACCCGGGAGTATTTTACAACTCCATCCTTAGACCCAGCTCCTAAGAGAGGAGGACAAGGAGATGGAAGAGTAGCTCCACCAAGGGGAATTGAGAAGCCGGATGCAAAACCAGGTGAAATCTACTCAGATTTGCCTACCTAGTATTTTCTTTAGTTAGTTCACTGTAAGATCTCTCTCAAAAATTTCTTTTAAGCCGGGTGGTGGTGCACACCTTTGATCCCAGCATTTGGGAGGCAGAGGCAGGCGGATCTCTGTGAGTTAGAGGCCATCATGGTCTACAGAGTGAGTTCCAGGACAGGCTCCAAAGCTACACAGAGAAACCCTGTTTCAAACCGCCCCCCCCCCAAAAAAAACCAAAATAAAACATCTGAATTAGAAAACAGCCGGGCAAAGAAAGTCCATTGTCTCAAACAATCAAACAAACAAAACTATTCCTAAGCACTTCCGTCAAGCATGGAGTGGATACTCATCTAACAAACAGCAAGAAACAGTTTCTTGCTCTAGAACAGGGTTTTTGTTTGTTTTTGAGACAGGGTCTCATTATGTAGTTCTGGCTATCCTGGAACTCACAGAGAACTGCCTTTGCCTCCCAAGTGCTGGGATTAAAAGTGTGCACCACTATGCCTGGTCAGGGTTTCTGAACCCTAGTAATACAAATGTTTGAATTTATGATGGGATTATAATCCCAATAATCTCATTGTGAATTGAAAATAACCTTAAGTGTAATACATGTTTAATTCACCTAATCTATCAAACACCATAGTTGTGTAGTGCATTGTAAAGTATTGGATGCTTATTAGTTTTCAACTGCTGACTGGGAATTTTGAATCAAGCTGCATGTATGCATAGAAAGGTTATATTAACATATTCCTAACCTATGGGGGAAAAAAAACAAAATTCATACAGCAGAGGCAAGTAGTACATGAAATTAGTAAAGTAAGACATTGATAGCCTTCTTTTATTTAGACAAGGTCTTATTGGGTAGCTCTGGCTAGTCTCAAACTCAGAATATAGACCAGGCTGCCTCTGCCTCTCAAGTGGTGGGATCCATTACCTTTAGAATTCCCTTTAATATGTTGTAACACATAATACACCTTAAATATTTGTTCAATAATGTCTGTCCAAACCAATCTGTACAAAATGCAGCTATGACTAGTTTTACTCTTCACAACTCTATCCCTTTGGAAACTTAATTCCAAGGATTTCTTGGGGAATGGAGTTGAGACAAGTTCTCCCTATGTAGTCCTGGCACTAAGTATGTAGGTCAGATTGGCCTCAACTTTGCAGTGATCCTCGGGACTCTGCTTCTGTAACAATGGAATTGCTGGGATCATAGGCATGGCTTAATTCAGATTTTTTTAAAAAAATTTCAAGAGCGCCTGTGTAGCCTGGGCAGGCGTCTCCATGACGGGTAAGGTGACCTGCTGACGTCCCATGCAACCTAAGTCAGAAGCTCATTTTTTAGTAAAAGGGGGACCTGTAGGGTCCTGCCCCCCCTCCCCCAACCCCCCCACGCCCGTTTTGGGTAACTGTTGTCTTGCTTGCTGACCTTGACCTTGATATCCTCCCTATGCTAATTCCTTGCCGGGTTCCACCCTCCTGAATGCTTAAGGGAAGTTCCTTGTCTGTGTCTCCTGCATAATGAGCGTTAACAGCTTAGATGCAAGATTGTAAAATATCAGTAGCGAACTTCTGCCCTCAGGGGTTCTCCCATTGTGCTGTAAACCTGTATTTAAGACCTCTTCCCTCCTTCAATAAACAGCATTCGGCATTAAATAAATAAATAAATAAATAGCAGCAAACAAACAAACAAACAAAAATTTCATTCATTTATTTCATTGTTGTTTGTTTTTAGAGACATGGTTTCTCTGTGTAGCCCTGGCTGTCCTGGAGCTGGCTCTGTAGACAAGGATAGTATCATACTCAGTGCCTGCTTCTGCCTTCCAAGTGCTGGGATTAAAGGCATGCCCCACCATATCCCGCTTAATTCCAATATTTTTTAAAATATAAAACAAAGGCTGGAGAGATGACTAACAGTTCAGAGCACTTGTTCTTGCAGAAGACAATGTTTGATTCCCAGCACCCACATGGTAGCTCAAAACCATCCATAACTCCAGTTCCAAGAGATCCACTAATACCTTTTTACCTCTGTGGGCACCAGTGGGCACACATACATACAAGCAAAACACCCGTACACATAAAATACATAATCTAAAAAAAATGAAATGTAAAGAAAAACTGTATGAGATTAAGATAAATCTGGACTGTTATCCACAAAGGAATTCTCTAAGGAACAAACAGACTACCAAGAGTTTTTAAAATAGGTATGATGACAAAGTTAATAAACCTACCAAAAATTAGAATCTAGAACAAATGAGTTAACTCAACAAATAAAGGTCCTTGTTGTTTATCCAGACCACCACAGTAGAAAAGTATAATCTGCCTGTGGCCTGCATGTATGCACACATACACACACATTTAAAAATCGTGCACATACATATATACAGGGAAAATATTCACATACCTAATTATTTTAAAATTAAAAAGAAAAACAAGCTTTTCTGCTCTCCTGTGCTTCCCAGGGGAATCAAGAAATGTTAGGGTTATTATTTTCTGGCTCCCAAATAATCACTTAAGTCAGGTCAGGTAGCACAGGTTTTTAATCCATCCAGGCTACTAAGACATTCAGATACTTACATTCAATGCCAGCCTAAGAAACGAAGTGAGATCTTTCCTCAGATAGATAATCAGTCAATGAATCACAGTAACCTTATATTTTTCTCGACATATATAGTATCTCACAGTTCCCGGGGCCGTTTTGACAAAATCAAAAGAATATAAGACAGGCTGGGTGTGCTGGCACATTACTTTAATCTCAGCACTCAACAGGCAGAGGCAGGCAGATCTCTGCGAAGTTCAAGGCCAGCCTGGTCTGCAGAGTGAGTTCCAGGATAGCCAGGACTGTCATACTGAGAAACCCTGTTTTGAAACAAACACACACACACACACACACACACACACACACACACACACACACACACACACACACTATTAGGGAACAGGATCTGATATCACCGTGATTGGTGAGCCAGGGCTGTAATCTCAACACTTGAGAGACTGTCGTACTCAAAACAAGAAAAAACAAAACAAACAAACAAAAAACATGCCCAAAGGGGCATAATTCTGACTAATAAAATCTCTTATGATGATGTGTCCATCTTGTCCCTTCTCCCAAGAAAAAGAAGTCTCTTGACAGTCTTTAAGGCTACCTAATGCTCTAAAAAAGGGACTCAAGACGACTGCTCACAATTATTCCTAATAACTACGCTATTCCATTCTTATGTCGCAGTTGCAGAATCAGAGAAACGCGGGCAAGGGGATCCAGAGATTCCCAAGCGCACTGGCCAAACCCGAGCGGCACTCACTGCAGACCGCAGCCCCTGCAGGGTTCAGGACAGCCATCTAGTGCTGAGAGGAGAGGGTCTGAGCCTCGGCCTCCCGCCCGCCCGCCCGCCCACTCCTCCCTAGGGGCCTGAGGAGGCGGGCTCAGAGGCCTGGCCACACCCTCCCTCGGCTGGCCCTGCCCCCGGGGAAGCCCCCGAAGCCCCACCCCGGGCGAGGGTCCGCCCCCAGCCTCCCGGGCCTCCTTCCTGTGGGGAAGTGCGGCTGCTTTCGCGTCCCCTACCCGCTCGGCTCGGTCCCGCGGCCGCTGCGCAGCCGAACGCCGGCTGGCCAGGGGACAGCCGCCCGAGACCCCGGGCTCGCGAGTGCGCACGCAGGCCATGTCGCGGGCCGTAGCCCCGCAAGCCTGCCGCCGAGCCGCCCCCTCGCCCGGGCCAGCACTCACCTCGCCACCAGTACGTCTTGGACAGGTCATGCCAGGTCTGATGTCGGGTGTGGTGAGTGCCTCCAGGGCCCAGGTGTGCCGCCTCTATGAGGCCCTGGCGACGCTCCGGCTGCAGCACTACCTCCAGCTCGGCAAACGTCTTGCGGTGCCGCTGCCGCCGCTGGTAGTACAGAGTCCCGCCGCGCACGACGTAGCAGGCGGCAGCCTTGCGGATTTTACGCTTGACATTGCCCTCGGTGCCCGGTGCATAAGGCTCACGTTCGTTCGTCAAATAGCGCAGGATGGCCCGATAGCTTTCCTCGCTTGACATCGCGGATGGCAGCGCCCTTAGGGCGCCTGTCAGCGGTAGGGAAAGGCAGACAGCGCTCTGCCTCCGTGTAGCTGCAACAGCAGTGGCAACACTTTGAGGAGGAACGCCTACGCCTTTGGTGGGCGCTCTTCGAGGGCGCCCGCAGCGCCAAGGAAGAACCGACGGCTTGGTAACCAGGGGGAACTGCACTTCTGCAGCGCGCGGGATCCGCTGGCGACTGACAAAATGGCTGCTGCACCACCGGAAGTGACGCGCGTACGGGGCGTGGCCTCTGGCCTGATTGGAGCGCTCTCAATTTCTGGCTCTGAGGGAGCGGGCGGAGTGACGTCAATACTGCGGGAGGACATTTTGGAAGAGGGTACGCTCTTTCTGGCAGATACAAGGGTCTTCAGCGGACATCTTAAGTCCTGGCAGTTTTTTTTCCTTCCTTTTCCCACGCTCTCTGGAAAGCCACGTGTTTGAGCCGTTCGGTGTTTGTTGCCCTGAGACCCTCCCCCCCAAAGGGTAAAGGAGACCGTTTTTTCTGTCTACGTTGAGACTCGATATACTAAATTCCGCCGATTTGAAAGAGTCGTTTGCCACTGTGGGCTCTGGGCCAAAGATAGTCGCAGTAGTATTATCAAGCATTAAGTGTCTCAATGTTAGGAATTATCCTCTTAGAACTATTTCCAAACTACTCAAGGTAAGATTTTTCTAGAATCACCATGGTGATGACTACGCAGGCCCAGATTATTTAAATAATTAAATTAACATGGAGAGGCGATCCCTCCTTCCTGGTGTCAATCTGATGTGCCCTTGGAATGCCGGGACACTGGTGTGCTTTGCTGAACTGGAAGGTTCCAGGCTTCCCAGCCTATGGCTTTGGCTGAAAGTGCTATTAATTTTTTTCAGCCTGGAGGATACGGATCTATGAGGGTTTTAGAACTTTAAGGGATCTCAGGTGAGGAAGCCAGCAGAGGGCTGTGGGCTCAAAGGGGGCAGGGATTTGGGTTTCTCCTACTATAATGGAAATGAAGAGAGCATCCTTCTATGGTGATGCAGATATCCAAACCCATCTAAGGAATTTCGTCCGTACTGGGTGTGGCCTCACGACTCCAATACTAATTTAAAAATGTTACCAAGATTTTTGAATAAAATCTTGAGAATACAGGGAAAATGAGGTGGTAAATCCAACGAAGATCCAATTAATTTACTTTAAATCTTTTAAGCATTTGGAGGCAACAGAAAATATTACTAGTATTTTTGTCTTAGTGATCCAACAATTTTCTTCCTAAGAGAAGTCAAACCTTAACCTTCTGTTTATTTCTAGATCTTTGTGGACCATCTGGGCTATAAGTCAACTGTTCTTCAAAGCAATTTTCCAATTCAATTATGTCCTTGCAAAGATCTGCATTCTGTGTTAAGACTATTTTTTACACAAATTAATGGCTATTTGGGGGAAAGATCTTGTTACTAGGCTGGTCTCAAATCCTTAACAATCCTTTTTTTTTATTTATTTATTTTTTTATTTTACGAGACAGGGTTTCTGTGTAGTTTGGTTGCCTGCCTGGATCTCTCTGTTGACTAGGCTGGCCTTGAACTCAGAGATCTCCCTGGCTCTGCCTCCAAGTGCTCAGATTAAAGGTGTATGCCACCACTGCAGGGCTAATCCTCACATTCTTGCATGCTGAAATTAAGGGCAGTTGACTACACCTTCACTTTTGTATACACCTATTAGCAGGCTAACAAACTGGGGGCTCAGTTGGAAAGTTGTCAGTTGAGAGGGTCTCCTGTACTCCAAGCTTGACTCAAATTCATTACGTAGCCACGGTGACCTTGAACTTCTGAGAAAATTTAAAATTTGACACGGCTTTATTCAGTTCAAGAAACAAGTACATTATACCACATTTAAGTAATACTGAGCTCGGCATTGGTGGCACATGCCTTTAATGCTAACACTTGGGAGGCAGAGGCAGGGGCATCTCAAAAGTTTGGAGCCAGCCTGGCCTACAAATCAAAGTTTCAGGGTGCCAGAACTACAGAGAAACTGTTTGCAAAAACAAAACAAACCCCCCCAAAAAAAGGCTAAACATGGTTGCACATGCAACTGTACTGCACTCAAGAAAATTACTTAGCTGAAGGCCAGAGTAGGCAATTTATCCCTTACCTTTCTGCCTCCCACCCCCAAAAAACTGAGTGCAGTGGCACTTGACTTGAAACAAGTAAATTTCTGGGAATTTCAGGACAGCCAACGTGACAGATGTCTCAACAACAAAACAGCAGGATGTATTAGTGCACTCACTATATATAATCCATACACTAAAGCTATAAGACAGTCTTGAGGTTCCAACAGTCTTCAGTCTAAAAACTACACAAGGCAGCAGTGACTTTCACTGAAGCTCATTGTGGAAGTACAGACTGATAGTTTAACTTCTAACAGCCAAGGATAGCTGAGGTACTAATCAATAGAAGGCCAAACCCTATATAATGATTCTACCCAATGATTCTAATCACTAAGAAAAGGTATTGAAGTTTACCAGTTTAAACAAATACTGCAACATCCTAGGATTGAAAGCTTTCTAATGTTAAAGTAATATGCTTTTAATGCTTACCATATACAAGAAAACCCTACATTTTTTAGGGGTAGTGAGGAGGTAAAGAGGTTTCATGGAGGCTGGGCTTGAACTGTTTTCTTGTCTCCCAAGCGCTGGGATCATAGTTGTGCTCCAAACACAGCTCACATTTTGTTTCCCATCTCTTCAACTAAGGTTGTATTAGGAGGCATTATTGCTGAGAAAGAAACTTGTAAGTTTTCCAGACAGGGTCTCACTATGTAGTTCTGGCTGTCCTGGAACTCAGAGGTCCACCCTCCTCTGCCTCCTGAGTGCTCAGATGAAGATTAAAAGTGTGACAGGTACCATAGCCAGTAAGAAATAAAGCACTTTTAGTTGGAGACTGACTGTAAGAACTCGGGCAAGCTAAATAAACAGTCTTGTGGCTAAGCCACCCCGCCCCAAATACAACTGCATGTTTTATTAAAGAAAAAAAAAATCCAACACCTAGAGTTAGAGATTGATCTTTATTCAAAACTCTGATCTACCAAGTTAGCGTTTCCCACCAACTCGGGGAGCAGAGACCTTCACAGGCTTCACAATCTTTTGTTTAGGTGCTGCTTTGGTAGGGGCCTGTAAAAAAATAACAGGACATTATTCAATAGGATTTTGCCACTTTGCCCTTATGGTTGATTCTTTACTACCTGTCCTGTCCTAATAATTTAACTGTGTTATTACCAACTTTAAAGTAACCTATGCTTAAAGTTCATTTCCATCATATAATAATATTGTTACAGATTGGACAGTAAGAAGATACAATGTAGTATGGGATCCTGAATTGTTAGTAACAAGTGGGTATTCTTGAAAGACATTCAGGCTGTGGCCTTGAACTGTTCCTGTCCCCTGAACTGTTGCTGTCCCCAGTCTTCACAATGCTCCGACTGGAGTCTCACACTACTTACTACACGGCCATTTAAGAATGATGTATTTCTTAATTTATTTTGGATGGGGCACACCACAGCACACATGTAGACAACATGGAAAACTTGTCAGAATTAGCTCTCCCACTACCATAGGCCCTCCAAGATGAAACCAGGCTTTGCAACAGGTGCCTTTACCCACTGAGCCATCTTGCTGACCCAGAGCCATCACTGCTTTAAAATGTTTACTATCTTTGAGGGGGCAGGGTCTTGCATGACACCTGTGTGGAAGTCAGTACAGCACAACTCACAGTGTTGGTTCTTTCCTTTCACTTCGTGGTCTCCAGGGCTATACCAGGGTTGGCAGCAAGGGCCTTTCCCGGCAGAGCCATCTTGCCCACTCAAGAATGAAAAACTGTTGCTAACTTTCTGGCTTTAATTTTTTTTAATTACTAGAAAAAGCTGGGTAAACTCATTGTACTGTTGTATAGTTAGTCCACGTGTAAAATTACTTCAAAGTCTTAAAAAGACAAAAGCCAAGCTGGGAACAAGGGACCATACCCATAATCCTATCTAGGCAGCAGGACTGTCCTTAAATTCAGACAAGTGTTGTTCATAGTTCTAAACTAGCCTTGGTTATAGTGACACATCTCAAATAATAAAAAGAAAAGCTATCTTCAAGTTCCCTTTTTTAAGGCATCTAAAATTAAGACTCACTAGAAATTTGAGATATATATAACCATTCACCTGGAAATTAGCTACAACCATTTCCAATAGAAACTTGCACCTGTCCTTTACTAACCCTTGTATCAAAGATACCATTTCCTACACTAAGAAACTCAAGAAGACCCCCCAGTTACCTTGGCAGCAGCCATTGCTGTCTTCTTGGACGCCTGCTTAGCCTTTTTTGCTTCCTTGGCAGCCCTGTGGAGTCATAAGCAACAGTAAGCCAAAGACTTTACTCTTTAAGGACACAAATTATTGGTAAGGAGCCAGAGTTTTGGATAGGTGGAACCATCATATTCTTTCCCCATATTTGTGAATGAAATCCAAAATCCAGAACCAGGCTCAATGGTACACGCCCAGTTATACATACAGCCCTTGAGGCCATGGCAGGAAGATCATAAACCCAAGGGTAGTGGGGCTTCACTGTGAGAGCTTAGCAAAGAACCCCACAAAAACCAGCTCCAAAGAGTTGCCAATAAATTCCATTATCCAAGTCAGCTTAACATGTGAAACTGTACTGACTACCGAGACTCAAGAAATCATATTTAAAGTATATGCCTGCATTAAGCTTCTAACAACTGACAGTCCCATGAGATTAGGTTCCTGTACCAGAAAAACCATCTAGTCACCCCAGTAGCTGCCATGTTCATGGTGGAGCATTTCCTTACCTGATAGCCTGTTCTCGCTGAGCTTTCCTAACTTCTGGTTTCTGATTCCTCTTGGCCATTATATCAGCAAGAGACGCACCAGTGATAGCCCGCTGGAATTTGACTGCACGGCGGGTTCTTTTCTTTTGAATTTCTTCCTACAGAGCAAAGGAGGATTGATCGACCTTACTCACTGACTTTGGAAGTGGGAATTAAAGTCAAAGAACAGTTTCCTCTGTGTGTATATATGTGCTGAGATGGACTTCTCTGTGTAGTCCTGCCAAAACCCAACGCTGGGATTAGGTGTGTACCATGATGCCAGGCCCCTTGGGTCACAACCACCTGTGATTCCAGTACCAGGGCCCCGACACTGTCTCTGACCTCTGCAGGCACCAGGCACAAACACTGCACTTATAAGCATGTAGGCAAACGTCACGCACATAAGAGTACTTCTAAAGGCTATTCTAAAAATGACTTAGCAAGACTGTTTACAGACTCAAGAAATCTAGTTATGAAAAGGGCTTAGGAAGAGAATACTAAAATCTTGCGAGCTTTATCCAGGAACCCAAAGTTTGCTGTAGATTCTATACTGCAAGTCTATACTATAGTTATTATGAGAAACAAGATCTCGTAGTATAGCCTGGTAGTAGTGGTGCATGCCTTTAATCTGAGTTCAAGGCCAGCCTGGACTACATAGTGAGTTCCAGGACAGTCAAAGCTCCACAAGGAAACCCTGATAAAAAAAAATTTTTTTTTAAACAAAGATTGAATCTTACAGTAGAAAAAGTCAAAATTTGTTTCATTTCTCATCCCAAATCCTTCCTAAAACAATTCTCAAAGGGTGGTGGTGGCACACGCCTTTAATCCCAGCACTGGGGGAGCAGAGCCAGGTGGATCTCTGAGTTCAAGGCCAGCCTGGGCTACAGAGCAAGATCCAGGAAAAGCGCTAAGCTACACAGAGAAACCCTGTCTCGAAAAACCAACCAAAAAAAAAAAAAAAAAACAAAACAAAACAAAAACAAAACAAGAAACAAAAACTTCCATTCCATTCCCCATCCCCCCTCCTTATGTTTCAGTCTTTATTAATCTGCCTATTCTAGGTACCACATAAAAGTAAAACCTTTTGCCTAGCCCAGCTCAGCAGTTTTCAACCTAGCTCACCTAAGACCATCAGAAAACAGATATTCACATTATGATGCATAAAAAGTAGCAAAAAAATTAGTTATAAAAGTAACACGAAAATGATTTTTTTATGGTTGGGGGTCACCACAGAACGAACTGTATTAAAGGGTCACAACATTAGGAAGGTTGAGAACCACTGGTCTAGCCTATTTCCTCAGCCTATCTTCAAAGCTGGCTGTTTTTCACCCTTTAAAAGGCTAAATATCCCACTGCATATATGTGGCTGCATATTCCTAACCAAAAACTTGCCTCCCCATGGAGGGTGTGGGACCACCACCACCACAAATGGGAAATTTCAATTTCAATGCTGAGTTCATGTGAGGGATTGCTGACAAAATACAGGTTAAAAAAAAATCACTGCTAGACTCAGAAAGACCAACACGGTATGTACTCTCTTAAATGGGTATTAGACACAAAGCAAAGGATAACCAGGCTACAATCCACAACCCCAGTGAAGCTAGGTAAAAAGGAGGTCCCTAAGAGAGTCACACATGGAGGGCTCCAGGAAGGGAAAATAGTTAAGATCGCCTGGGTAAACTGGGGGTGGGGGGTGGGGGGTGGGACTGAGATGGCAGAGTGGAGGAAGGGATGGAGAGGAAAGCAATGAAAGAGATATCTTGGTAGAGGGAACCATTAGGGGGTTAGGGAAGGAGAAACCTGGTGCTAGGGAAATCCCCAGGAATCCACAAGGATGACACCAGCTATGACTCCTAGCAATGATGAAGAGGGTTCCTGAACTTACCCTCCCCTATAATCAGATTAGTGATTATCCTAATTGTCATCATAGAACCTACATCCAGTAACAGATGGAAGCAGATGCAGTGATCCACAACCAAGCACTGGGCTGAGCTACTAGACTTCAGCTGTGAAGAGAGGGAGGAGGGATCACAGGAGCAAGTGAGGTCAAGATCATAATGGGGAAAACCACAGAGATAGCTGACCCAAGATGGTGGGAGCTCATGGACTCTGGCCTGTCAGGTGGGGAACATGCATGGGTCTGAATAGGCCCTCTGAATGTGGCTCACAGTTATGTGGCTAGATCTGTTTGGGGAGCCCCTAGTAGTGGGGTCAGGAATTATCCTGGGTTCATGAAATGGCTTTTTGGAACGCATTCCCTAGGGTGAGACACCTTGCTCAGTCTTGACACAGCGGGGAGGGGCTTGGTCCTGTCTCAACTTAGTATGCCAGATGTTTTGACTCCCCAAGGGAGGCTTTACTCTCTCTAGGAGCAGATAAGGGGGTAGGATGGGGTGGGGGGGGGAGGGGAGGGAAGGGAAACTGGGATTGGTATGTAAAATGAAGGAAAATAAACTTTTAAAAAAAATAAATACTGCTTAATAAAAAACCACCTTTAGGCTAAAAGAGAACTAGAACTATGTTTTAGACTTGGGTCCCATCACAAAAAATCTCATGTACATGCAACTATTTCAGAATCCCAAAGCAAGCTGGCAGTGGTGGCAAATGCCTTTAATCTCAGCACTCCTCAGGAGGCGGAGGCGGAGGCAGAGCGGACAGTTCCAGGACAGCCAAGGCAATACAGAGAAACCCTGTCAAAAAAAATAAAAACCAAACCAAAAAAAGAACCCTAAATGGCAAACTTTCTAGCTTCAACATTCAACCCATAGTACCCGCCTTTTTGGAGATAGGGTTTTACTTTGTAGCCTTGGCTAGCCTCAAAGTCAATTCTCTCGCCTCAGCAGTCCAAGCTCAGTACCAAATTTTATTATACTTTAAGTACCTGCTTTCAATACTTAGAAAGGAACTTCCAGATGTTACAATTTTTAAGATTTTTAACTTTTCGTCAGCCTGGTCTATAGTTCCAGGACTACAGAAAAACCCTGTCTCAAAAAACAAAACAAAATTAACTCCGAGTCACACAAAGTTGGCCACAGCAGTTGCGTCATCTCACTTTAGCAATGTTTCAGGTTTCTCTACATCCTCACCAACACCAGTAAGACCCTCACTGGGGCATTCAAAAAGATCTAGTAAATGAAATTAGAAATGAATCCTTCCTTCCACTAACCCCGTGTGTTCTGCTTGGGAAACAATGTCTGCTCAGGTTGACCTTGAACTATTCACCCTCTTGCTCCCGAAACCTCCCAAACACTGGGATTACAAGAGCGGTGACCATGCCCATATGACGTATTTCACATCTGGTGCTATTTATTTCCTATAACAGATAGCTAGAAACTCGTAAGCCCCAAACATGCCAAGCCTCCTGACGACCTAGGCTGTAGTCCTACCACCACACCTCTATGGACTGCAACACCATACATCCTAAGGGACTCTGCAACCCAAATGAAACCCGTAGAAGGGATCCTTTCAAACCTCCACACACAGCCCGAGTCTATGGTATACAAGGTGACACTAGTTCTGTGATCTGTCACTCGCTTGATGCTTTCAATTTTAAGGACACATTTTCATAGTCTTATTTAATCAAGGTTTAACGTGGCAAAATCTGACAGCGCAATTTTAAGAGGCTAGCAAGATGCACTCCACTTACCGACTGTCCCTTCTTGTGTTTTCTTCTGTAGAGGACAGTCCAGTTTATCTGCCGAGGATTCCTTTTGGAAAGGAATGCGGACTCGCATTTTGCATTAAGAAACTGGAAAACCTGGGGTTAACGAGTTCATAAATTAGTCACTCCTTTTATACAAAGTATAAGAGGCTGAGATCGAAAAATCCTTATCCACTTTTTATTCTAGTTTCCTCGTTTCGGTCGTCTGTGACACAAGCGCCAGGTAACTGGGTAGCATGAAGGTGTCCACATTTCATCTTTTCTCGGGAGCAGGCGAATCTACACTCGTCCCCAAGGGTCGGATGGCGTTAAGTTTTGAGGAAATCTGGCTTTTAGCCCTCTCAGAGTTAAAAAGAAGACCGGCCGCCCGCTGAGAAGCCAGATCACTCCGAGTCGTGGTCATTTCTCTTTCCCATGGCTATTATTAGTTACCCAGCGCACTCATTTCCGGCCTGGTTCACCTCCATCTACACTCACCCAGGTTTCCCATCCCACACGCGGCCCCGCGGTCCTCCACTGGCCGGCCGACCGGCCTCTCGCCCGCCGGGGTCCCGAGCCGGCCCAGCCGCCCTTTTACCTTCCCGTCGGTCCTGGCGTAGCGCCGCCCGTGTCCGGGGTAGATCTTGTAGCCGCTGAAACTGCACAGCTCGACCCTGGAAGGAAAGCCCAAAGCCCGTTAGGGTGTGCGCGGCAAAGGAAAGCCATGCCCGGGCCCTCTGCCGCAGGATGGAGGCGGATTGGGAGACAGGGAGCTCGCTTACTTCATGGTGAGAGCTGCCGGCCGGCCGGAGGAAAGATGGCGAAGAGAAAGGATGAATCATGGGAAAACACCTTATAGGCGGGGGAGAATCTCCTCCCTAAATCCCCTTCCTTGACCCCGGCGCCCTGTGATGACGTCACGCCCAGGAGTCGGCTCTCGGTTTCCTAGCAACAGCTTTCTTCCCAAATTACCGACAGGCACTGTCCTCCGAAGGTTCTGTGAGGCCCAGGCAGGTGGCCGTCAAAAAGACAGGCTTGACTTTGGTTCTGTGTCATTCCGTTTCCCGCAGGCAAGTGTTCTAGAATCTAGAGGCAGCCTTTTGCGGGGAACATGGACAAAATACAGGGGTGTTCCACGTGTCGTTTCTCTTCTTAGGAAGGTCACATTATGCCTTTGCTTTTGAAACAAAATTAAATCGTAGTAGCCGACAGAAATGGCCCAGGGATAGCGCGAGTGGCACGCAAAACCCTGAGTTAAATCTCCAATTTCAGAAAAAACTTAATAGTTTGAGCCCGGCTCGGTGGCGCAAGGTTTTTAACCCTAGCTCTCTCTGGGAGGCCCCCTGCAGGCTGATCTGCATAGCAAGAGAGGGCCCAGGCTGTGTAGTGAGAGCCTGTATCAAAAACTAAAAATAGCCACTTGTTTAAATGGAGAGCCCGCCTTGTAATACCAGCACTCAGGAACTAAGGCAGACAGACTGCTGCAAGTCTCGGTGTACACACACCACACACACACACACACACACACACACACACACACACACAGTTAAATTTTTTTTTTCTTACTTTTTTCTTTTCTTCAGAAAAGCTATTTTAGGGGGCTGGAGAGATGGTTCAGCGACTAAGAGCACTGGCTGCTCTTCCAGAGGATTCGCGTTCATTTCCCAACACCCACATGGCAGCTCACATCTGTCTATAACTCCATTTCCAGGGGATCTGTCACCCTCACACACACACGTGCAAGCAAAACACTAATGCACATAAAGGTAAATAAATTTGAGAGACAGAGCGAGAGAAGCTATTTTAGGCCTGGAAAGATGACTCAGAAGTTAAGAGCGCTTGTGCTAGCAGAGGACTGGTGTTTGAGTCCCAGCATCCACATAGTGGCTCACAACCATCTGTAATTCCAGTTCCAGGGAATCCAGCTCTGTCTGATGACCTCCAATTGGCACCACGCTGGCACATGGTGCATGTACATGCATTCATACAAAACATTCAGACACATAAAATAAGATGAATAAATCTAAAAATAAATAAATAAAGCTTTTAATTAAAAAATCTATTTTTGTCGGGCAGTGGTGGAGCAGGCCTTTAATCCCAGTTCTAAGGAGGCAAAGGCAGGCAGATGTCTGTGAGTTCGAAGCCAGCCTGGAACTCGTTCCAAGACAGTTGAGGCAACACAAACTCTGTCTTGAAAAACAAACAAGCAAACAAGCAAAACAGCTATTTTAAAGAACTTCCTGGCCAGGTGGTGGTGGCACATGCCTTTAATCCCAGCACTGGGGAGGCTGAGGCAGGCGGACCTCTGTGAGTTCAAGACTAGCCTGGTCTACAAAGCTAGTTCCAGAACAGCCAGAATACATACAGAGAAACCCTCTCTTGAAAAACTGAAAAAAAATAAATAAATAAGAATTGCTTGAAGTTGTTGAGATGGACCAGCAGGTAAAATGCTTGCCCTTTAAGCGTGATGACCGGAGTTCAATCCCCAGAACCTACGTGAATGTGGAAAGCAAAACCAACCTCACAAAGCTGTCCCCTAACCTCCTGTGCTTGCTGTGGTGTACACATTCTCGCACAGACACAGAGAGACATTATACCCACAGAATAATAAATATTCTTTAATTTTAAAACCACAAAGTGAAGATCACTGGAAGATAACCAAGACTACCTCATAACTCCCATGTGTGGGCCAGTGCACCACACACATGCACACATTAAAAATAAAAAGTCTTTAGACAAGGTTTTATATCTACCAATTTTAGGAAATATAGGTGACAAAGGCACGTGTCAAATGTCTCCACAGGAATGCAATTCGCAAAAATTAATGTGTAAGAAACAAGACAACAGCTGCTCTAGCTGTATTCAAAGAGAGAAAAGGAGATGTGTACAGGGCTGGCAGCACACATGATTTGCAAGGCCCAGTGTAACACCAAGGGGTTGGAAAAGGTGCAGTTAGAAGAACTAAGTCCATTCTCTTTCTTCTTGAATGTATTTCTCCATCTTCAGCAGCACTTTCTTCATTTGCTTTTTAATGTGATATTTTCTCACACCAAGACAGAGAAGGGCTACCGCCTTTTACTGATGCCTAGTGACCTGATGATATGTTTGTTCAAAAGGTCCACTGGCTGATTACTGATCTATCAGCTCACCATTTCTTTTATTTATTTATTTATTTATTTATTTATTTATTTATTTATTTATTTATTTATTTATTTATTTATTTATTTATTTAATTTCTCTATGCAACAGCTGTTCTGGAACTAGCTCTGTAGACCAGGCTGGCCTTGAACTCACAGAGATCTGCCTCCCTCTGCCTCTCAAGTGCTGGGATTAAAGGCGTGTGCTACCACCACCCAGCACTGTTTCACTTTTGTTGATGTTATTGTTTTTGTTTGTTTGTTTGTTGTTTTTGTTTTTTGAGACAGATTTTCTCTGTGTAGCCCTGACTGTCTTGCAACTCCTCTGTAGACCAGGCTGGACTAGAACTCAGAGATCTGCCTGCCTTTGCCTCCAAAGTGCTGGGGTTAAAGGTGTGAGGCACCATGACTGGTTCTCTCTCTCTCTCTCTCTCTCTCTCTCTCTCTCTCTCTCTCTCTCTATATATATATATATATATATATATATATATATATATATATATCCCCATTTTTTACACAGATCTGCCTGCCTTTGCCTCCCAAGTGCTGGAATTAAAGGCGTTCACCACCACCTCCTGGACAGCCAGGGCTGTTACACAGAAACCCTGTCTCAAAAAAGCAAAAACAAATAAACAAAATAAGACATACAACAAAAGATGCTATAACGCCGGTGGTGATCTACAGAGTGAGTTCCAGGACAGCCAGGGCTGTTACACAGAGAAATCCTGTCTCGAAAAACCAAGAAAAAAAGAGAGAGAAGGAGGAGAAGGAGAAGAAAAAGAAGAAGATATACCATGAAGTCTAAGAACTGCCTTAAGACAACTTGAGAGGGTTACAGGTAGAGGCATGTGTGAAGAACTGGTTGGCCAGGAGTGGGTAATATCTCATTCTACACCCGTCAAAATTAGCCTGTTGAGGAGGAGTATAAGAAAAGTGGTACCCCACAACAGACTGCTGGCAATGGTCGAGAGAAAGCCGGGACTGACCCACTCTGGTGACAGGATGGCCAAACACCCTAATTGTCGTGCTAGAAACCTCATCCAATGACTGAGGGAACCGGATGCAGAGATCCACAGCCAGGCCCCAGGTGGAGCTCCAGGAGTCCATATGGCGAGAAAGAGGAGGGTTTGTATGAGTGAGAATTGTTGAGACCAAGATTGGAAAAAGCACAGGGATAAATAAGCCAAACTAATGGAAACACATGAACTGTGAACCAATAGCTGAGGAGCCCACAACTGGATCAGGCCCTCTGGATAAGTGAGACAGTTGATTAGCTTGATCTGTTTGGGAGGCCCCCAGGCAGTGGGACTGGGACCTGTCCTCAGTGCATGAGCTGGCTGTTTGGAACCTGGGGCTTATACAGGGACACTTGGCTCAGCCTGGGAGGAGGGGACTGGACCTGCCTGGACTGAATTTACCAGGTTGAACTCAATCCCCAGGGGAGTCTTTGCCGTGGAGGAGCTGGGAATGGGGGCTGGGCTGGGGGGAAGGGGACGAGCCGGAGGGGGGAGAACAAGGGAATCCGTGGCTGATATGTAAAAATTAAATTATAAAATTAAAAAAAAAGAAAAGAAAAAGAAAAGTGGTTCCTGCTAGTTGGGAGTGGGAGTGATTGGTAAGGAGGGCACTTTGTGTGTTAATGGTAACATTCTATATTTGGGTGGGATCTGGGTTAATTTCAGTTTGTCTAAACTTGGGAAATGTTCATTTAAAATTAGTTGATTTCACTGCATATAAATTTTACTTCTAAGAGTTATTAGGGGTTCTCTTGGTTTCTGGAGCTAAGAAATCGGTCGGAAGATTCACTTTAAACAGAAGTTGATTTAACCTTGCAAAGCAAGCATTCCAAAAACAGATTGGTGTGGAGGGGACAGGAGGAGGGGGTGTCTGGTAGTTGTCAGCCCAGTCAGCTCTGCCTTGGGAGGTGTAAAGAAGGTTTATGAATATTTATGAGGTCATTAGCATATTCATGGAGTAATGCTTTTCCCTTCCCAAATCACGGCTGACGGGATATCCCTTTTATAGTTTTCCTCTTCCCCTGTTTGTCTAGAAACGCCCATAGGAGTGGGGATGGCAGCAGTAATTGGACATGCACATCCCTCCTTGGTGTACATGTGTATCTTATGTGGCAGGAACATTGGACAGAACACTAAGATGCAGCTGTGGTTTTCTTGGTTATCTTTTTTTTGGTTTTTTGAGACAGGCTTTCTCTGTGTAGCTTTGCACCTTTCCTGGATCTCGCTCTGTAGACCAGGCTGTCCTCGAACTCACAAAGATCCGCCTGCCTCTGCCTCCCGTGTGCTGGGATTAAAGGCGTGCGCCACCATCGCCCTGGCTCTTGGTTATCTTATAATTATCTAATTCTTAAAAAGATTTTTTTGAGATTTACTTATTTTAGTGTACGAGTGTCTTGACTGTGTGTATGTCTGTGTACCATATGCACGCAGTGCCCATAAAGGCCAGAAGAGAGCATTGGATCCCCTTGAACAGTATTTCAGATAGTTGTGAGCCACCCTGTGGGTACTGGAAATCTAACCCATGTCCATCAGAAGAGCAGTCAGTGCTCTTACCTGCTGAGCCATCTCTTTGGCCCTCTTCTATTTTATTGTTTATTTTATTTTATTTTCAGACAGGGTCTCTCTATGTAATCCTGTCTGTCCTGGAACTCACTATGTAGATCAGGTTGACCTTGAACTCAAAAAGATTCACCTGCCTCTGGCTCCTAAATGCTGAGATCAAAGGCATGTGCCATCATACCAAGCCCCCCCAGCCCCTTTTTTTTCTTAACCACAAAAGGTCCCATGATTGGTCTCATGACTATCAGTAAAACATTTTCTTTTAGTTTTGTTTTGTTTTGTTGAGACAAGGTCTCTTTACGTAGCCCTGGCTGTCCTGGAACTATGTAGACCAGGCTTTCCTGGAACTCACAAAGATATGCCTGCTTCTGCCTCCTGAGTGCTTTAAAGACATGTCCATTAAAGACATGCACCACCATGCCCGGCTCATTTTGTAATTTTTTGAATTTAGGTTTTTAGCATGAAAGTTGGCATAAAAAAAAGATCAGAGCAAGGTGCTAGAGAGATGACTCAGAGGTTAAGAGCACTGGCCATTCTTCCAAAGGACCTGAATTCAATTCCCAGTAACCACAAAATAGCTCATAACCACCTATGATGAGATCTGGTGCCCTCTTCTGGCATGCAGGCACATATGCAAGCAGAATACTGTATATATAATAAAGAAAAAATTTTAAAATAATTTATTTGTTCTTATTTTATGTTCATTGGTGTTTTGCCTTCATGTATGTCTGTGTGAGGGTGTCAGATCTTGGAGTTACAGACAGTTGTTAGCTGCCATGTGGGTACTGGAAATTGAACCCCGGTCCTCTGGAAGAATAGTCAGTGTTCTTAAACCTTGAACCATCTCTCCAGCCTCCATAATGAATAAATTAAAAAAAACCAGAGCTTTGATGGTTGGTCTCCTGGGACCCCTTCTCCCAGCTCCATTGCTCAAGTCTGTCTTCTAAGTAACGGAAAGACTGGGGTCACATTCTGATGTATTAATGGAGTGTGGGAGACCAGCCCCCACACTTATTTACTCCAGGAACTCTTTTTTTTTTTTTTTTTTTTTTTTTTACAGTTATCACCGTCTATTTAATTGAAATAAAACTGGGATACAGTAGCCAGGTTTGGTGGCACAGGCCTGTAATCTCAGCACTCAGGGGACAGATGCAGGAGGATCTTGAGTTTGAGGGCAGTCTAGGCTATATAGGAAGATACTATTTTATTTTTATTTTTATTTTTTTTTGGTTTTTCGAGACAGGGTTTCTCTGTGTAGCTTTGCGCCTTTTCCTGGAACTCACTTGGTAGCCCAGGCTGGCCTCGAACTCACAGAGATCCGCCTGGCTCTGCCTCCCGAGTGCTGGGATTAAAGGCGTGCGCCACCACCGCCAGGCAGGAAGATACTATCTTAAAACTACCTGACCAACCAATCAGGAAAAATTGGGATGCAGTAGTAGATGGGATGTTTAATTATAGGATTGATTTATAAAATCTGCTATTATCCAAAGCAGTGAGAAATACGAGCAGTATTTCAGATACCTGTAAACTGTACCATAAAATGTAAGGGCTTTTCCCGTTGATTGGTTGCCAATGTTCATTGACTGGGAATAAATAAAGCTGAACTTCAGTTAGAGTGAAGAAGGTGTAACACTTTCCTCCATCAAGTTGGTGGAGGTCCCTGATGGTTATCCATGGTAAGAGCCCCCGCTTTGCGGGGGAGAGGAAATCCTGAACCTATTCAGGACACCCCAGGAGAGGCTGAAAGAAGAGGCGTGTGCTCACAGTCTCCAGAAATTCCTACTGCAGCTCCGCAGACTTCCTCGGGTTCTTTGTCGTCATGGAGTTGTTGCAGGTCCCCACTCTAGGCTAGCAAACTCCTCCAGCCAGCTTCTGGTTTTTCTGACAGGAGGCAGCTTCTGAGTTGTATTACTTTGAGTTTTACTGCAAATCTTTAACGTGTTTAGAGGAGCAATTCATTTCATTGTCTTCCACCTTGTGGGCTAGACAGAGAAACAGTCAGAGGAACAGTCAGAGGCTGGGGCAACTTGTCTATTCTGTTGATGGAGCAGTCTTGGGGGAAGACCTCCTTGGCCAGCTGTCCATTCTTCTTCAACTTGCAGGCCTCCTGGTATGGGGGTGAGATGGGGGGCTGTGTGGGCGGAGTATATCTGTACTCAGAGCCATCTTCTCGATTCAGAGGATAACTGCGATCCGAATCGTAGGCGCTGAGGTCCCCACAGGTCACAAAGGGCACAATAATACGGGTGGGCCCATCCAGCTGGTTGAAATCGTGGTCCAGCAGGGGTCTGGTCAGGTCTGGAATGAAGCCCTCAGGAGGGTCATAACCCTGACAAACAGCAAAGGCCTCAATGCTGGAGTTCCGGCTGCTCTTGGGCTTGGCACAGAGCACACTGGAGAAGAAGACACGAAGCTGGCTGTAGAGAAGAGATACATCCCGGCCTCGGAATATCTTGGCTACAAAGCAGCCCCCTAGCTTCAAGACATGCGTAGCAATGTTGAGAGCAGCTAGCAGAAGCTGGGCCTGCAGGTACTCATCGACATCATGGAGGCCAGTGACATCAGGAGCCCCATCACACACGACTAGGTCGGCAGGGCAGCCCTCAAAGTGCTGGATGATCTCCTTGGCAGTGGAAAGCTGAGTGATGTCCCCCTGTATCTGTATCACACCTGCGAGTGGAGCCATAGCCTGCAAGTCCACAGCCACCACCTGACCGGACCTCGGGCCCCCAATCTTCTGGCTCAGCACCTGGCTCCAGCTGCCTGGGGCCGCACACAGGTCAACGGCTCGTTTCACACCTTGGAAGAGTTGGAATTCCTCATCCAGTTGAAGTAGCTTGAAGGCACTCCGGGCCCGCCAGCCATTCTCCTTGGCCAGGCGGTAGTAGACATCCCGTTTATCCTTTGACGTCCGTCCCATCTCACTCTGCTGGTAGGCAGTGAGCTGACGCTATCCTAGAGGTTGTCGCAACGTGGCAAACTTTGCATTGTGAAACAGTTCTAGGAACTCTTGAGGAATGAGGGATAAGAGACTTAGTTAGAAATAGGGAGAGTAGCCGGGTGGTGGCGGCGCACGCCTGTAATTTCAGCACTCGGGAGGTAGAGGCAGGCGGATCTCTGTGAGTTCAAGGCCAGCCTGGTCTACAGAGCTAGTCCAGGACAGGCTCCAAAGCTACAGAGAAACCCTGTCTCAAAAAAACAAAACAAAAAAAAACACCAAAAAACAACAACAAAAAAAAAAAAATAGGGAGAGAGAAACAGAGAGAAAAACAAAGGATAGACTCGGGTGGGCCTGAGTCCTTATCCAAATGGGGGCCCAGAATTTTATTCCAAAGGTCTATTTATAACAATGCCAAGGGGTGGAGCAAAGGACCTCCCCCCTTGCTAGTTACAGTCACCTGGTACCCAGGCCCGCGGTCCAATCCTAGTGGGCTCCAACCATGGATGTAGTTGCCTAGCATGCCTAAGGCCCCAGCACTGCAAAAATAAAAACAATCAACATTAAAAAAAGGAAACTGGATAATTTGTATTACCAGTAAGTGCAATGCATGCTGCTCTATTTTAAGAAAGGTGTAGTCACCTATCCAAAACATGATTTATTGATAGACGAGTAGATATGTGATTTTAAAAAAGTATAAAATGTTGGTGATGAAATCAAAGTGATAAGTATATAAATGTTTGCTGTAAAGTTCTTTCAAAATTTCCTTTTGGCTTTTTCTATTTCAACAAACTAAATAAAGGGAGCCCTCTTCTGGAAGAATCCGATATTACAGCTTGGCTCAGAAAGGCAAACACGGGCAAAGGAACGATCTATGTTTCGCCAGGTATGCAATACTTGTCTATTCTTTTCCACAAACTCCGTTGGCCCATCCTCATGTGCCCAGTCTGTCCTTGTTTGGAAAGACTTTTCCCTTTTCACTGGCTAAACTCTTACTTCCATTTTACTTCCTCTTGGATAGGGAACGGCAAATGTCTTCTGTAAAAGGCCAAATAGCAAATACTTTCAGCCTTGTTGAGGTAAGAGGAGACGTTGAAGATATCATGTTGGGACATATACGGCAAAGGAAAAGAAAACAAGTTTACACAGCATTCTTACTGACACAATTTCTGATATAATAATGAATACAGCTTTAAAACACTTAACCTTTATTTTTATTTCATGTATCTGGGTGTATGTATGTCTGCGCACAATGTGCAGCTGGTGACCACAGAGGTTATAAGAAGATGTCAGATACCCTGGAGTTACAGACAGTTACGAGCAGCCATGTGAGTGCTGGGACTCAGACCCTGGTCCTCTGCAAGAGTAGTTAGTGCTCTTTGTTTTGTTTTGTTTTTTTTGTTTTTCGAGACAGGGTTTCTCTGTGTAGCTTTGTGCCTTTCCTGGAACTCACTTGGTAGCCCAGGCTGGCCTCGAACTCACAGCGATCCGCCTGGCTCTGCCTCCCGAGTGCTGGGATTAAAGGCGTGCGCCACCACCCACCGCCCGGCCTAGTTAGTTCTCTTAACTGCTGAGCCATTTCTCCAGCCCTGAGTACAGCTTATTGTAAAAACAAATCTGCTAGCCTGTGACAATGGCTCACTGGGTAAAACTCAGGCTGCTAGTCCTGACAGCCTGAGTTGGAGCCCTAAGGCCCACATAGTGGAAGGAGAGAACTGATTCTGTAAGTTTTCCTCTGACTTCCAAACATGTGACATGGTATACATGCACACCTCCTCCTGCCCCCCCCCCCCCCACAAATGTGATCAAAAATTTAAAACCTACTAATGGGAATTAAATTCTTTCTTACATCTTTATCTTTTCAGAATGATTTTTTTATATATATATTTCAAAGTTGTTTGTTGCCTGTCATCAAATTAATGTTTACTTGTCAGTCATGATATGGAATGTGATTTTACAAAGTTTTTCTTTGAAAAGCATTTTTGTGTGTGTGCAGATAGACACTACACAATACTGATAACAATCTGAGCATGTAAGTTGGCATATTAATTGTTGTACCCACTTGAGACACAAGAGAATGCCACTCAGTGAAGGTCAGGTTAAGAGTCCCTTATTCGTTGGAGGTCAAGAGCAGGCCTTGACTGAAAAGAACTCTTGGTCCATAGAAAAGCAGGGTAGGGTTTATAAAGCCAAAACCCACAATCACATCCTGCCAGAGGCAGGCCAGCGTGTAGACGTTTCCAGTGTCTTAGCTGAGTTGATTAAAACAATGTTTTGTGTTGTGAAGCAATGGTGTTGCCAGGAGTGCAGGTGCAGCTGCCTGAGAATGCAGTGCCCAGCAGGATGTGGTTAGTGGGGGCTGGGAGGGTGCGGCAGCTCAAACTAGGACAAGATGACGTCACGTTGGGCGATTCATTACATGGAAGCCAGTAACAGAAATACAGTATTTGGTTTGAACAAACAAGCCGGGAAGAACATTAGAATACTGTTGGATTTTTCATGACACTAGTTACTGTTAATTTTGGTCATATTGCAATAGAACTGTTACTTTTTATCTTAGCCTTGGTTTTTAGAACTACATGTTAAGTGCTTGAAGATGATATAACAAAGTCTACATTTGCCTTAAAATAATGTGAGAGGGGCTGGAGAGATGGCTCAGAGGTTAAGAGCACTGACTGCTCTTCCAGAGGTCCTGAGTTCAACTCCCAGCAACCACATGGTGGCTCACAACCATCTGTAATGAGATCTGGTGCCCTCTTCTGGTCATACATGCTGTATACGAAATAAATAAATAAATCTTTAAAAAAAATAATAATGTGAGAGAAGGGTCATCCACAAAGGCATGTGTGAAAGACTGATTGGCCAGGAATGGGTAGTGATTGAAATATCAAGGTTCACCAAAATAATTCATATTATTATCTCCAGTTTTGCCTAATGGTAATCAGTTCTTTTCTTTCTTTCTTTTTGTTTGTTTGTTTTGTTTTGTTTTTGTTTTTTGAGACAGGGTTTCTCTGTGTAGTTTTGGTGCCTGTCCTGGATCTCTCTCTGTAGCCCAGGCTGGCCTTAAATTCACAGAGATCTGCCTGGCTCTGCCTCCTGAGTGCTGGGATTAAAGGCGTGTGCCACTGCTGGAATTTTTACTGGAAATTAGGTGAACAGGGTTAAGTTTATTCTAAAATACAGAAATTTCCTTTGTACATGCGTGGAGGTCTGTAAAACACTGCTAAAACTAGTAGTGATGTACACCTGTGGTTCCAGTACTCAGGGGGTTGAGTTGTGACATCAGGCTGTGCTCTGCTGGCTTAGTATTTCTACTGCTGTGATGAAATACCATGACCAAAAAGCAACATGGTATTTGGGGAGGAGAGGGTTTATTTTGGTTACACTTCCACATCACAGTCCATCATTGAAGGTAGTCAGGGCAGGAAGTCAAGGCCGGAAACTGGAAACTGGAGGCAGACACCATGGAGGATTGCTGCTTGCTGGCTTTCTGTCCAGGGCTTGCTCAGCTTGCCTCTCTCTCTCTCTCTCTCTCTCTCTCTCTCTCTCTCTCTCTCTCTCTCTCTCTCTCTCTCTCTGACACACACACACACACACACACACACACACACACACACACACACACAGATTTATTTTACATTGGTTTTGGTGGCCCACGCATGTCAGAGACAGGGGCAGGTGGATCTCTGAGTTTGAGGCTAGTCTGGTCTACAGAGCAAATTCTAGGACAACCAGGGCTACACAAAGAAATTCCTTCTTAAAACAAACAAATAAACAAACAAACAAAAAACACAACAACAAACAAACACAATTTTATGTTATTATTTTATTTGTATGTTTTGCCTGCATATATATATACCACATGTCTGCCTAGTGCTTTCAGAGGACAGAAGAAAACATCAGATTCCCAGATTTTGGAGTTACAGATGGTTATGAGCTACCACGTGGATGCTGGGAAACGAACCTAGGTCCTCTGCAAAAACAACACATGTTCTTATCCATTAAGGCAACTCTCTAGCCTTCAATCTACTTTCATATACATCCCAGGACTACCTGCTCACGGGTGGCACCACCCACAGTGGCTAAGTCCTCCCACACCCATCACTAATTAAGAAAATGCCCATGAGCTTGGCTACAGGCCAATCTTATGGAGGCGTTTTCTCAATTGTGGTTCCCTCCTCTTAGGTAACTTTAGTTTGTATCAAGTTGACAAAAAACTAACTAGCATACATGCCATTAAATTCCTCCAGATTTTGTAAAAAACAGTGGTTTTAAGGCTATGATTAGCTCTGGTGACTCCATCCCACAAGCAACATTAGTTCCATTTTGGGTGCAAATGCAGAGGCAAGGCAATGATATACACTGTGCATGTAGGTACCACCGCCTAGCACCACCAACCAGGCATGGGCTAACAAATAACTATTTTTTTCTTTTGGAGATAAGAGCTCATGTAGCCATCCCAGGCTAGCCTTGAACTCACTTTGTAACTGAAGATGACCTTGAACTTCTCATCTATGTCATAGTTAGGTATATTGCTGTGAAGGGACACCATGACCAAGGCTACTCATACAAAAGAAAGCATTTATTTGGGGGGCATGCGTACAGTTTTAGAAGGTTAGTCCTTGATCATCATGGTGGGAAGCAGGCGGCATGGTGTTGGAGCAATAGCTGAGAACTTTACATTCTGATGAGAAATGATTGAGCTTGATGTGGGCTTTTGAAACCTCAAAGCCCACTTCCAGTGACATACCTCCTCCAACAAGGCCACACCTCCTAATTCTTCCTAAACAGTTCTACTGACCGGGTACCAAGCCTTCAAATGTATGAGCCTATGGAGGCCATTTTCATTCAAACCACCACAGTCCTCTTATCTCCACCTTCCAAGCATTGTGATTATAAGTGTTGTGGTTATAGACATATAATTCCTTATAAAGTGCTGGAGAATCAAACCCAGGACTTGATGTGTGCTAGCTATCCTTAGTCTCCTAAGTTATTCTTTTCTTAAAACTTTTTAAAATTTTTATTTTATGTGTATGAATGTTTTGGTTGCATGTGT